CTATTGCTTTCCACTTCACTAGGGGGCGATGTCCTCAGTTCTGAAGGTGAGGATGCGGATATAAGCAGAGAAGAAGTGAAGTTAGAGAGGGGTGACAAAAAACATGGATGTGAGCAGTAGCACAAGGTATTCATCTGTGGTTGGGTTTTTGAGGAGAAATTGTTATTTTCTTTGCTACTCATTTAAGCCTAATGTTCTAAATGTCTTGAGACAAGTTTCTCTATTGGACTGTTTTACTCTAACTTCGACTGCACAGTGCGCGTGGGAATTATCAATGGATTATTGACTGAGTCTGGCATCTTTGAATTGATTGAACCTGTGGAACGTCCTGTGGATATTGATCGACTGAACTCATCGTGCCATTATTGACTTTGAGAACGCTGGACTTGTGACAAACTGCGTTGGAAACTCAGGTTTTTCTATCTTATAAATGATTGAACTGATTTGTAAATATGGTATGTGTTTGCGTGGAGGGTGAACACGAATATAATCACTGCAAAACTCAACGGATGGTACCCTACCTCTTTCCAATGATTTCATTCTGTCTTTTGTAATTCAAGATGGTGTATTGCTAAATAACATAGGCCCACCTCGTGAGTGAAACTCATTATAATATGCAAAACTATTATCCACTCACAGCAGTGGGCGTTTACTTCCAAATCTTCAGTGCGAGACGCACATAAAAACCTAGCGTTTTTCAGCTAGGCTCAAAACTAGGGTAGAAATTAGCCTATTACTATTCATTTTGATGTTTTTGAATGCAAAAACCAAGCGAACGTCATAAGTTCACCTAAATTATCATAAGTTGAGAAAATATAAAAACCAATTCATGACCCCTTTAAAGCGTTGTTGTGGCAATTGGGGGAAAAAAAGATTATTTAACTGAATCACAGCCTTTGTGATTTCACAATAGCACTATGATTTATTAGGATTGTAAATGGTTTTAATTAGTGCTGTCAAACGATTAAAATATTTAATAGTTAACTCACGATTAATCGGACATTTTAATCTGCTCTAAATGTCTCGATTTCTTTTTGTCCCATTAGTTTTTCTCAATTTAACGCTCTTATCAACATGGAAAAGTGGATTAGCTTGTTTTGTGTAATTGTTTTTTTAAACAATGTTGGCATATACTGACTACTTTTACATGCAGCCAATAACCCGTTCAAAACCGGGATATTATCAAAAACCCGTTTGCGAACGGCCATGTAAACACTGGCAAAAACCCGAATATGCTCATATCCCGGATTTTCAAAACCGTGATATTATACCTGGGGTACCCCTTTTCTAACACGAATATTTGGTCATGTAAACGCGTATCGGCATATCCCCATAGTGATTTGTGTTCTGAGCATGTTCTATTCGTAAGGAATCTTGGTCTTTTGAGTAAGTTTTGAGAAACTTCTCGGCGCATACAAAATCCGCGTGCAGTATACCGGAAGTAAACGTGGCGAGACACAGCACAGTATACTTTTGGAGGGAGCTCAGTAACGTTACCAGCATCAAAGCACAAACAAAGGCGATCGCTATCTGCCCAGAACTATTCATTATCCGCGTGCTGCTGCTGCTGTTGTCGTCTTTGGATACAGGAAGAAGAATCGGAAATGACGCATATTGCGTCTTAAGGTTGCGTCCCGTTTACGTTGGGATATTGCAACTCCATGTTTACAGGAGAAACTCTCTCTGCTCACGCATGTAAACGGGTTATTCCTAATGTTTCAGAAACCCGAATAGTGACTGTAACAAGGTTCAGGGAAGAAGGAGGCAGGAACCGGATAATAATAATAAAATAAAACTTTATTTAAACAAAATAAACAAACAAAATACCTGCCAGCAGCCCCTCACGGACGACTGCTGGCTACCGAAAATAAAATATAAAATACCGGCCAGCAGCCCCTCGCGGACGACTGCTGGCTTACCAAATAAAATATAAAACACAAACAAAAGCAGGCCTGTTCCTCTCTCGATCATCCACTCCGTCGCTCCCCCTTTATGGCTCCGCTCCTTCGTGAGAGATGCGAGACCGGTGTGCCTCGCAGGTGCTGCTCATTAGCAATCGCACCACCGGCCTCGCGACTTTCTCTCACGTCCCTCGGCCGTCCTGCTCACCACATACCCCCATCACCCCTCACAGGCCGGGGGGTACACCCGAGACTGTGCCTACTTCCCCCCCCGGCGGCAGCGATCCCTGGGGGGTATGGATCGACGAGCCGAGGGAAACGGAGACGGAAGCCTGAGGAGCGACGGACACGAGAGAGGGGAGAGAGGAAAAAAAAAAAAATAGTCCGGCTCCCACAACGCGCTGCCATCTTGTCCCTCACCAGCTGGGTGATCTCCTCCGCGGTGCCCGGCGCCGACGCTGGATGGCCCTCGGTGAACGCCTCGACGCTCCCCCGCCCCCGGTGGACGGCGACGGCTCCTCGGGTGCCTTGGGCAGACGGCAGGAGTCCCCCGCTCCCTGCTCCTCCCCTTCACTGGCGGATGGCAGCAGGCTCCGGCCCACGGCAAGCGGCGGTGACTCCTCCTCTCCCTCCCGAACGGCAGCCGCCCCTCCATTTTCCAGGCGGTCGGCGGCGAGCTCGGGCGTCCCACCGGCAACTCATCCCAGCGCCCCGCCTCGAGCGTCCATGGCCGCGAGTCCCCCGCTCCCTGCTCCTCCCCTTATGCGGCGGACGGCAGCAGGCTCCGGCCCACGGCGAGCGGCGGCGACTCGCGCACCATGCTCGATGGCACCGCGGATTCCCCACAGCGGCGAGGACCCTCGGACAGCGCGTTCCTCCCTCTTCCCGGGTTTTCGGCACCAGTGTAACAAGGTTCAGGGAAGAAGGAGGCAGGAACCGGATAATAATAATAAAATAAAACTTTATTTAAACAAAATAAACAAACAAAATACCTGCCAGCAGCCCCTCACGGACGACTGCTGGCTACCGAAAATAAAATATAAAATACCGGCCAGCAGCCCCTCGCGGACGACTGCTGGCTTACCAAATAAAATATAAAACACAAACAAAAGCAGGCCTGTTCCTCTCTCGATCATCCACTCCGTCGCTCCCCCTTTATGGCTCCGCTCCTTCGTGAGAGATGCGAGACCGGTGTGCCTCGCAGGTGCTGCTCATTAGCAATCGCACCACCGGCCTCGCGACTTTCTCTCACGTCCCTCGGCCGTCCTGCTCACCACAGTGACCTTAACCCGACCATAACCCGAAAATTGGCTGCATGTAAACGTAGTCACTGTGTTCAATTTGACACTGACATTCTCACTCGGAGGAAATAATCTCTCACACAATGTAACACTGTCCATCAATAAAAGGGCGAAAGAAATACTGACGAGGTCCTGATATTAACGAGGGGGCGCATAATTTGCATCAGCTGTGTGTGTGTGTGGCCATCATCAAGCGGTATTTCAGACTGGACGTGCTGCGATGATGATAGCTCAGTTCACAACGACAAAACACACAGATCACTTTGGTCTTGTCAATGGAATTTGGCAACTGTTACAAATAAAATTTCCATTCAGAATCTTATTGGCATCCATTTCGCGTCTCGCGCTCGGCATCCACTCAAAACGTAACATTAACCAACTATTTGGTCGACTCGCAAGCCTAAATGAGTGCGTGCGGCGTGCCTGTTGTTTTTGTTTCCGGTCTAGCTAGATCCGCTTGCGCTTTGGTTGACGAAACAACAAAACGTACTCACGCGGCACAAGCCATTGACATTAATGGGTTTCAGAGCGCAGCGCCGCGTCATGTTTCACATTAGCATGTGAAAAAAAAACTACAAAGTTTGCTTGGACAAAAAGACAGTTAATCGCGAGATAAAAAAATTGACGCCATTAAAATGGGTTTGCGTTAACGCAGTTAATAACTGACAGCCCTAGTTTTAATATAACGCATAGCCTTAGAAAAAGGTGTAATTATGGATTCTTCCATGTATTACACTTACGGTATTTTGGCGGTTAAGACCAATTTATACTTCTGCGTCGAGGGTACGCCGTAGTGTACGGCGTTGGCTACGCACGTAGGCGACGCCGTTGTGAGCATTTATACTTCTGCGTTCAGCTCTTGGTTGCTCTGCAGTACTGCTCCGAAACACTAGTTGGCGGCGGAGGGTTTTAATGTTCCACTGTGTTTAGATTCCTCGCGGCTAGGTTACTACAAGCAATAGCGACTGAAAGAGAGCGGATCATGTTGGAGTTGGAGCTTATTGAGGTGGAAAAACAGTTAATTTAGTGAAATTAAAACTGAAAGGCAGAAATGAGAGAAGACGTCGGAGGAGATGGTACGTCTGGAAATGCGTGAGAAGGTACGTGCGGAAATGCGTAGGAGGAAATGCGATGCTACCAAGCCGACCAATCATCGATCTTGCGGTCCGCGTCGTCACGACGTGTAGTTACATTTTTGAGGAGGTGCGCGTCAGCCGACGGCGAAGGGTACACGGTATGGGACGCGTCTGTAGTATGCTAGGCCGTACCTACTGCGCGAACCCAAAGCAGAAGTATAAATTGGCCTTTACTCGACACGGGTAAATTGCAATCGAGGATTTTTTCAAATCTAATACTCCACTTTAATCGAGGATTCGTGACAGCCCTAGTCTGCAATCAGACCAGCTCTTCTCTTCCATGGAGATGAAAAAGCCATTTAAAGCACACAGATTTTAGAAACACAAACACTTTTTTAAAACAGCAAGGATAAAGACAATTAGGAAAAATAAACTCTGAAATGGATTTGTATTAACCTTGTTTAAAAGCTTACTTTTCAAGTTAATCACTCAAAGATGTGACATTGCGATCTAAATCCAGTGTTAATTCCACATGCTGAGCAACAAAATCTCTTCTGTGTAAGTTAGTCATGGTCAAATCACTCCATCTTCACCAGTGTTGCCAAATTGGAAGTCCCAAGTATTGTACCAGAATCTCAAAATGGTCATATTTGGTAGACAATGGTACACAGACGTCCAGAATACAGCTATTTATTGACCTTCAGCTGTTTATGGATCTACAGCTATTTATGAGTTTTCATGTGTTGCTTCAGGTTATTTTTAACAGAGAAACTCTTCCCACACTGATCACACGTGTGCGGCTTCTCTCCAGTGTGGATCCTCTCATGTCTTTTCAGACTTCCTGACCGATTGAATCTCTTGTCACAGTGTGAACACTTGTAAGGTTTTTCTCCAGTGTGGATCCTCTCATGTGTTTTCAGATGTGATGAAACACTGAATCTCTTGTCACAGTGTGAACACTTGTAAGGTTTTTCTCCAGTGTGGATCCTCTCATGTTTTTTCAGAGTTGATGTCAGACTGAATCTCTTGTCGCAGTGTGAACACTCGTAAGGTTTTTCTCCAGTGTGAATTCTCTGGTGCCGTTTTAAATCCTTTGCTGAAATAAAAGTCTTCTCACACTCAAAGCACACGTACTCTCTCACAGTCACACCAGTGTGGATTTGCTGATGTCTATGTAAAGTTGGCAGCCATGAAAAACCCTTTCCACACACAGAACATGAATACAGCTTCTCTTTCATATGAACTGTCAGGTGTCTCTTCAGGTCTAATTTCCTAATAAATGTTTTGCCACATTGATCACATGTGAACAGCTTCTCTCCGGTGTGAACTCTCCTATGCGAATCAAGATTAGGTTTGTGTGTGAAACTCTTCCCGTATTGATAACATGTGAACAGCTTATCTGTGTGAGCTCTCATGTGAATCTGAAGACTTTGTCTGAATGGGAATATCTTTCCACTCTGATCGCATGTGTGTGGTTTTCCTCCAGTGTGGATTATCATGTGCTGTCTAAGATTTGATATTTGTCTGAAACTCTTTCCACATTGATTACATCTGAACGGCTTCTCTCCAGTGTGGATCCTCGTGTGAACTTTAAGACTCCATTTGCATGTAAAACTCTTCCCACATTGAGTGCAGGTGAAAGATTTCTTGGATCTTCTTTTCTTTAAAAATGTCTGTTTAGTTTTTGAGCAACTCAAATGTTTTTCTCCAGGTTGGACATGATGTTCCTCCTTCACTTCACTCAGTTCTTCTCTCTCCTCCTTCACTTCTCTCAGTTCTTCTCTCTCCTCCTTCACTTCTCTCAGTTCTTCTCTCTCCTCCTTCACTTCTCTCAGTTCTTCTCTCTCCTCCTTCACTTCTCTCAGTTCTTCTCTCTCCTCCTTCACTTCACTCAGTTCTTCTCTCTCCTCGCTGTCTTCCATCAGGTCTGAAATCAAAGAGAAAAGTTTGATTGCGTCAGCAACCAAAATTATTTGGCCGAAAATATCAACAACTAACATGACGTCATGACATTTGCATAAAAATACACGGCACTTTCAAGTCAAGTGGCGTGTTATTTACACGAATTTTGAGCTATCCACGCGTATGCGTGTATATCTACGCCATTAAATGTCCGAGCGAAACGAAGAAAAATGTAGCTCTACATCTGGGGAGCAAGGTTATTATAGTTTTGCATTTTTCATTAGTTTTTATTTTTATTTCGTTTTGAATTTTTGTTTTCAAATTCAGTTTAGTTTTAATTAGTTTTAAAAGTGGGTTTACTAGTTTAGTTTAGTTTCTATTTTTTGAAAATGCTTAGTTTTAGTTTAGTTTTTATTAGTTTTAGTGTTAGTTTTAGTTTTTTTTTGTAATTTGGGTTATTTGTCAGGGGCAAGGTTGAAAAAGGTCAGAAAAAGAATTGTGTAATAATAACTCAACACAAACATACATTTTTAGAAATATCCATTCAACATTAAAACCAAATGTATAGCCTACAATGTGAAATTCCTTTACTGTACCAACAATCAACATATTTTCTATATAAAAATCCCACAGCTTTACAATTTCGGTTACACTTTATTTCGATCACTTTAGACATTCTACTAATTATAAGTAACTTTTCAACTACATTTCAAGCAACTCTCATTAGAGTATTAGTATATTATAGTAGACTGTCAGTAGACTGTTAGATTATGGTTATTGTTAGGATTTGGGTTAGGAGAATAAGTTTACTTGTAGTAGACAAGTTACTTATAGTCAGTTGAATGTCTAAAGTGGACTATCGAAATAAAGTGTTACCGAGTAGAATAATGACATAACATTATTTAATATTTGAATCACAGCTTATAGAGTTTTGACATCGACAACCCAGCAGCATTTTACCTCAAAATTGCGACTAAGTCAGTTAACTTTTTCTAACGAAGGCTCAATCGCTTCTCGGGTCGACATTAACACACTGACAGAATTGTATTAAGAATTTATAATATTTGTACACCACCTTTTAATGTGTGATTGTGTAAAGATGTTCATGATGAGATACCAACCTTTCACGAACTTGCTTTCAACATTGATCGAACCCTCGTTGGCTCGTTTTCACGGAGACGCGGTGTGTACTGCATGGAGGGGGAGGGGCTGTGTGTGTAGGTGTGTGTGCGCGCGCGTGCATGTGAGAGAGACGGAGGAAGAGTTACAGGGAAATGAAATGCAGTTGAACAAATACACTGCGTGTTTTAAATAACGTTAAAATTAACGCCATTGACAAAGACGAAAACTAAGGACATTTGCTCTATAATTTTATTTTATTTTAGTTAGTTTTGCAAACAGACATTACAGTTTTAGTTAGCTATAGTTTTTTTGTAATGGCTCGTTTTTATTTTTATTTCAGTTAACGACAATGTTTTTTCCCATCTAGTTTTCGTTTTTTCGTTAGTTTTCGTTAACGATTATAACCTTGCTGGGGAGCGATATTTTTTTTTTCCTAGGATGGTAAGGGAAGACTCATAGATGGTATTAAAGGGTTAGTTCACCCAAAAATGAAAATTAAGTCATTAATTACTCACCCCCATGCTGTACCAACCCCGTAAGACCTTCGTTCATCTTCGGAACACAAATAAAGATATTTTTGATTGAATCTGAGGGCTGGATCACTCTTCCATAGGCTTCCTAAGGGACTGGCTCTTGACGGCCCATAAAGTCATTAAAGAAAAGGTTTAAATATTCCATGTGCCTACAGCGGATCAATTATAAGTTTATCAAGCGACAAGAATACTTTTTGTGCGAAAAAAACATAAATAATGACTTTATTCATCTATTCTATTACTTCCTTATGGGCGCATGCGCGAGAACTGAGACGAGGACGTTCTCATTCGACTACTTCTTGTTATTAATAATTTTAAGCTGTCCCTGAGATCGCTGTGGAGGAAGCTGTCCCTGAGATCACTGTGGAGGAAGCTTTTCCTGAGATCGCTATGGAGGAAGCTGTCCCTGAGATCCCCGTGGAGGAAGCGGTCCCTGAGATCACGGTGGAGGAAGCGGTCCCTGAAATCGCCGTGGAGAAAGCGGTCCCTGAGATCGCCGTGGAGGAAGCTGTCCCTGAGATCGCCGTGGACGAAGCGGTCCCTGAGATCACTGTGGAGGAAGCTGTCCCTGAGATCGCCGTGGAGGAAGCTGTCCCTGAGATCGCCGTGGAGGAAGCTGTCCCTGAGATCGCCGCGGAGGAAGCTGTCCCTGAGATCCCCGTGGAGGAAGCGGTCCCTGAGATCACTGTGGAGGAAGCTGTCCCTGAGATCGCTATGGAGGAAGCTGTCCCTGAGATCGCCGCGGAGGAAGCTGTCCCTGAGATCACCGCGGAGGAAGCTGTCCCTGAGATCGCCGCGGAGGAAGCTGTCCCTGAGATCCCCGTGGAGGAAGCGGTCCCTGAGATCGCCGTGGAGGAAGCGGTCCCTGAGATCACTGTGGAGGAAGCTGTCCCTGAGATCACTGTGGAGGAAGCTGTCCCTGAGATCGCTATGGAGGAAGCTGTCCCTGAGATCGCCGTGGAGGAAGCTGTCCCTGAGATCGCCGTGGAGGAAGCTGTCCCTGAGATCGCCGCGGAGGAAGCTGTCCCTGAGATCGCCGCGGAGGAAGCTGTCCCTGAGATCGCCGCGGAGGAAGCTGTCCCTGAGATCCCCGTGGAGGAAGCGGTCCCTGAGATCGTCGTGGAGGAAGCGGTCCCTGAGATCACTGTGGAGGAAGCTGTCCCTGAGATCACTGTGGAGGAAGCTGTCCCTGAGATCGCTATGGAGGAAGCTGTCCCTGAGATCGCCGCGGAGGAAGCTGTCCCTGAGATCGCCGCGGAGGAAGCTGTCCCTGAGATCGCCGTGGAGGAAGCGGTCCCTGAGATCGCCGTGGAGGAAGCTGTCCCTGAGATCGCCGCGGAGGAAGCTGTCCCTGAGATCGCCGCGGAGGAAGCTGTCCCTGAGATCACTGTGGAGGAAGCTGTCCCTGAGATCACTGTGGAGGAAGCTGTCCCTGAGATCACTGTGGAGGAAGCTGTCCCTGAGATCGCCGCGGAGGAAGCTGTCCCTGAGATCCCCGTGGAGGAAGCGGTCCCTGAGTTCACTGTGGAGGAAGCTGTCCCTGAGATCGCTATGGAGGAAGCTGTCCCTGAGATCGCCGTGGAGGAAGCTGTCCCTGAGATCGCCGCGGAGGAAGCTGTCCCTGAGATCCCCGTGGAGGAAGCGGTCCCTGAGTTCACTGTGGAGGAAGCTGTCCCTGAGATCGCTATGGAGGAAGCTGTCCCTGAGATCCCCGTGGAGGAAGCGGTCCCTGAGATCACTGTGGAGGAAGCTGTCCCTGAGATCGCTATGGAGGAAGCTGTCCCTGAGATCGCCGTGGAGGAAGCTGTCCCTGAGATCGCTGTGGAGGAAGCTGAGATCGCTGTGGAGGAAGCTGTCCCTGAGATCGCCGCGGAGGAAGCTGTCCCTGAGATCGCCGCGGAGGAAGCTGTCCCTGAGATCACTGTGGAGGAAGCTGTCCCTGAGATCACTGTGGAGGAAGCTGTCCCTGAGATCACTGTGGAGGAAGCTGTCCCTGAGATCACTGTGGAGGAAGCTGTCCCTGAGATCGCCGCGGAGGAAGCTGTCCCTGAGATCACTGTGGAGGAAGCTGTCCCTGAGATCACTGTGGAGGAAGCTGTCCCTGAGATCGCCGCGGAGGAAGCTGTCCCTGAGATCGCCGCGGAGGAAGCTGTCCCTGAGATCGCCGTGGAGGAAGCTGTCCCATTGATCGCGGTGGAGGAAGCTGTCCCTGAGATCGCCGTGGAGGAAGCTGTCCCTGAGATCGCCGTGGAGGAAGCTGTCCCTGAGATCCCCGTGGAGGAAGCTGTCCCTGAGATCGCCGTGGAGGAAGCGGTCCCTGAGATCGCCGTGGAGGAAGCTGTCCCTGAGATCGCCGTGGAGGAAGCTGTCCCATTGATCGCGGTGGAGGAAGCTGTCCCATTGATCGCGGTGGAGGAAGCTGTCCCTGAGATCGCCGTGGAGGAAGCTGTCCCTGAGATCTCCGTGGAGGAAGCGGTCCCTGAGATCGCTGTGGAGGAGGTTGTCCCTGAGATCGCAGAAGAGAAACCTGTTCTTCAGATCACGGCGGAGGTCGCTCACGGGTTTGTTCCCAAGCACGCCATAGAGGTCGCTCGAGAGTGGGTCTTTGAGAATGTCTTGGAGGTCGCTTTCAGGCTTGACCCGGAACAGGTGGTAGAGGGTGCCACTGAGTTAGTTCCTGAACTACCTGGCCCGCCCTGGTTGCAGGCACAGTTTATTTCCTTGTCTTGTCCCTCCCACCTCCCTCTTGGACTCCCTCTGTGTCACCACCACCGGGCCTTATGTTTGTGGAGCGTCTGGTATCCGCTCCATAGAGGGGGGATTCTGTTACGTGTTTAGTTCAGTGTTTCTTTGGGTTCATTATTAGTGTGTTTAGTCTTGTGGTTTTGTAATGTTCTTGGTTAATTGTTCCCTGTGTGTTAGTACTCTTCCCAGGTGTTTCCCATTGACCACACCCTCTCGTTATCATGTTAGCTTATTTAAGCCTGTGTGACTTGTGTAGTCTTTGTGAGTGCTTAATGTTTGTGAGCTGGTTGTTCTGTCCTGATCTTGTTTCTTGTTCCTGAATTCACGTTTCTGTAGTTAGAGTTTGTATTTTTAATAAATACTGCAAACGGATCCTACTCTTTTGTTCACTTCAACCAGCCGTGACACGGTATGGTACGCTTGGTACCATTTAAAGCGAGCCGAACCGAGCCGAGCCATACGGTACAATACCATGCAGTGGAAAAGCGCCAAAGCGTGCCGTACCGAACCGAACCGAACCATACCATGCAGTGGAAAAGCATGGTGCATGAGGTTTGAGGCCAAATATATATATAATTTTTTTTTTCAAAAGGTCTGTTAAAAATGTCTGAAATATCACAAAAACTTTGGTAAAACAACACAGAGACAGTTAGCTTAACACTGGGAGAATTTTAATTTTCAGCGATTAGAGTTTGGTCCAGAGAGAAAAGAAATCATCGATAGCTTGGAGGGTGGTGGGAATTTAAGTGGCGAGTTTCATGTGAATGGATTTTCTGATGTGTCAATTACTAATTGGGTGAAAAACGTTGGAAGTGAGAATCAAATTGGTATGCTCATTTGTATTACAACAGATATGGAAATTCCTTTATTATTAATGAAGATCAAGCTTTTATTTTGACATGCAGAGTTGACACACTTTATTTTGACGACCACTTTAATGCATATTGTATTGAGGAGAGAGCTGATTCCTTTTCTGTTATTTCTATTGATGAGTTGAATTATTACAGACCGTATGATAAACAGTTTTCTAATGAGATGGACAAAAAAAACATATGTAGTGCCACATTCCCATTTTGTGTGACCGGTGCTATTGAGGATTGGTTGTCCATTGTTAATGTAGAGCCAATGCTTTGTTGTGGATGTGTGCTTTGTTTAATACAGTTTCACTTGAACTACAATCTCCCTGTTTTTGTCTTTTTTGTAAATTATTTTACTGAGTCGGGTGAGGGGTGTACTTTGTAATACTTCCAAGTATTTCATATCAATACGGATCAATTCTACAAGAGTTGCATTTTATCCTAAACTTTACATCCAATGTAGTGATAATATGTCAACCACTCGGCAGTACTGAAAGAAAAACACACATTTGGTTTCAAATTTCGACACTATTCACTGGTGTTGGGTAAATTAAACACTAACCAGTGTTGACTAGTTTTAAATGTTAACTATTTAGAGAGTTGCTGCAACTCTGTCATAGCGTTAGATATTTAACACTTTGAAAAGTGTAGTTTTTTTTTTAACCCAATCTAGTGTGGACTAGTGTTGAATTTAACTCTGTTGAATTAGCACTGCTGATTTTGCTGTGTAGGTGAAGAAGAAGAATCTCGGGTTGGGTATTGTTTGGGTTTTTATGGTATCAGTGCCAAATCGAATTTTTTTAATAACCAGTGCCTGAACTGATTCTTTAATAGAGTCACAAAACGACGGTGAATGACATTAAGTTAAGCTTAAAACCCTATCTGACATTTTGGCAAGAGCATTTACTTGATAGAGTTTATTGCAAACGAAACAATTTTTGTAAACTACACTGTAAAAAATTTGGAGTAGGATTTACTTGAAAAAACTTTGCTAAACGATCTCACTCAGAAAATGCTAGTAAATTTACAAAGATTTGCCAAGTAAAAACCTAAACATCAGTGGCGTAGCCACGAGGGGGCCTGGGTGGGCCTAGGCCCCCTCATTACATGTCCGGTCCCCTCAGATTTCTGATCGCTTAAAAAAAAAAAAAGTTGTTTTATTAGGATTGATAGATTGACCAATCAAAATGCTGCGCGGTAAAATGCGGCTTATTTTCAAACTTGATTTGTTTATATAACGTGTTGCGCGTAACGTACGCTGTCATCTTCATCTTTGCGTGAGAGTTAATATGCCGTGACAATGGCAGGCGCTCAAACTCAAAGTACAATATTACACTTTTTTAAAAAAGCACGGAAAGATCAACTTGATATATATATATAAATAATGTTGCCCCCTTATTTAAAGACGGGACCCCCCAAAAATAAAATTCTGGCTACGCCCCTGCTAAACATATTTATCAGTAGCTTTAATTAGAAATCTTTAAGTTAAATTTCCTTGGAATGTGGAATTAAGTAAACTTTACAAAAAATAAGTAATTTTAACTCGGCTTGTAAAAGGTTGATTAATACCGATTTCCTTTGCCTTTGTATTACACTTCACTAAAACAATTATCTTGAATTTTATTAGTCATTAATAGTATGTTTTTTTACTTAGATCATCTAAGTAATTTATATATACATCATGTCGGACTTTAAGCCTTATGTGAATGCAAACACCTCAATACTTGGTAGACAATACACAATGGTGGTAACATTTGATGGGTCGTTTTTGTGTTTGAATGTGTCGTTTTAAGCAAAAAATTTACTCGAAATGTCACAAAATGGCAATTTACTAATACTGAAAACAAAAATCAATGATAAAACAGTGTAAATACAGCTGGAAACCAGTGAAAAATGAACCTCATTAATTATTCAAGGTCCAGTGCATGATGGGAACCCCAGTATCAGAAAAGTTGAGTAATTTTTACTTAATTTTATTGAGTTGATATTACACTTTCATTTATACTCGCTTGAAATAAGTACTGATATGGAATTTACTTCTTGCCTGAACTAACTTTTTCAAGTAAATTACATTGGGTTTTTTCACTAGTATTTACTTAACCAAAAAATCATTTTTACAGTGTACATATTGAGAAAAGTTTGATATTTTTTAAAATAGATGCAAAATAATGTGAACCAGATATAAATGTAAATTAAAAGAGCTCAATTAATATTTAGTTTGACCCGATGTTGACAATCAATATGAAGATTACTCAAATATCGCTTTACTGACCATTTTGAAAACCAAAAAGGAAACTTTTGTACCCATTTGATAGTTTAACTCTTTATCTAAAAGTGATGAAGGGCTTGAATGTTTCTAACATGAATGTTCTCCAGCATCATGAATGAATGAAGAATAAACACCAACCTCTTTGTTCTTCAGGATCTTCAGTGTGTTTCATTCTGCAGGGTTCTGGATCACTCATGTTCTCACTGTCCTCTTTAATAAACTCAGTCTTTGCAGATTTCAGCTCTTCCTGATGCTCGTGTTCACTTGTAGCTGATGGGAATTTACAACATTTATTGGAGAATTGCTGTGGGAGGAGCTTCACTGATGATGAATTACAGTGTGGGAGGAGCTTCACTGATGATGAATTACAGTGTGGGAGGAGCTTCACTGATTATGTGACTGATGTGGGAGGAGCTTCACTGATGATGGAGCTGATCTACCCAAAATAAAAAAATATATATATCTGTAACTGAGTTGTTTTATACTTATTGATGATAGAATATAAATGTTGTACTGAAATTATTCCAAATATAAATAATGGTAAGAAAAACAGTTCAACACATAGGCCTAAAGACAGATATAAATGTATAGTCCTCGCCAAATCCCCTCAGTCTGCTGACACCAATGAAATGAGCTTTAAGTGTCCATTTACAGGAGATGTGAAGACATCAGCATAATAAATGAGGTGAAAACAGGAACTATTGTCATGAAATAAAGAGTGTTTTCAGCAGATCTGTTAATATTGATGATCCTCAGACTATCAACACTCATTCAACAAGCCATTCAGGATCATCAGCAGATCGTCTCACTTTATTCTGAGTGTTTGCTGTTAGAAACACGTAGATTCGTCAATATGGTAAAAGTCTGTTAAAACTGCTCTAGTGAAAGAAAAGTGTTGCTTCTCACAACATAAAACATAAGAAAAAAATATAAAAACTAACTCCAATGGCATTCATTTTAATTAACCACCTCATCTAAATAACTACAGCAGCATAATGCCCATATCTAAAATACATTTTGATTTTGCACCACATTTATTGCACTAATGTTATACGTGAAGTTTTTAGCCATAGGCTAAATGTCAGTGTTTGCTGTTAGAAACACATTATTTGAGTCAGATTGATGATAAAAGGCTGTAAAACTGCTCTAATGAAAGACATTACTGTAATTTCGCACAATATAACCAGACAAAACGTAAACAATAAAATAAAAACGTTAAAACTAGTTAAACTAGGATTAAGGTGGTTCCTTGTGAGGCTTTGGACAGCTGAACACCCTTACGTAACACCCTTACGATGAGAAACGCTAAAGGTTTGTTCCTACTAAATTTATTTCAAAGCAGAATCATAAAAGTTTAAATATGATATTTTAAAATGAAAAGTTAATACATTTTTATCTTCTATTCATCTTTTAGTAGATAACTGTAATGATTTTGCTTATTCTATCAAAACAAGACCGTCACAGAAAACTGTACTTTTACATTTTTAAAATAAATGAAAATAAATAGCCTAAATAATTTAATATAATTTCTAAGCAGTTTTTCACCCACAAACACACACTAAATCAGTTCCATAAAATGAACTAATCTCTATTTTTAAATTAAATGAGGATAAATAAAGTATATAACTTGTTACTAAAAACGTATTTAAAACATTAAACAGTTTTAGCTAAATTAATATATATATAGGCCTATATATATATATATATTATACAAAAAAACCTTATATTTTCATAGAGCTGAAGAAGTAGTTCTTTACGCAATTATAAAAAAAAACAATCAAAAAAGCAGACAGTGTAAGATAATAATAATACTTTTTCAATTCTGCTTTTGTTTTTAATTTTTGATGCCAAGTTTTAAAGGCAGATCTGATGCTCCAATCATTGATTTGTAAAGACATTTTCACTAAGATCTTTTGTTTAGCCTTTTATTTCAGACATTCCACAGGTTTAATATTTTGTTTTGGATTAGCTTGTGACTTCAGGTCAGAAATAATTTGACTTGCTTTGTTATAATTTGTCTTCTCTGGAAAATGTAAGTTTACATTTTTTTCTGTGTTTTTGAAAGAATTTTAAATACATCTTACTACAATTAGGCATCTTCAGTAAATATGAAAGCAAGTATTTTTAAGAATTTTAATATGAGTTTAATATCATTGTATTCTTCTTTTTTTGTCTTTTAGTTAATTTTATTTTTTTCAGCTAATCACTATAAACTTGTATTTTCTAATTTGTATTCTGATACATTTTGTATACAAAGTTGTATCATGTCATGTCTGTAATTTGTGCAATTTTTGCCTCGTTATCACGATGCATCACATGAAAAATAAAGAAGTAAAATGAGTATCTGATCCAAAACTCACAATAGATGGCGCTAATTCCAGCCGCTAATAACGAAGAAAAAGAAGAAGAAGAAGAAGAGTCTTCTGAGGTGAGGAGAGAAGTTCGCGGTATTTCTTATATTTACACACCCATCACACACACTTTATACAGTTTGATTAAGCGACAGACTCATTTCTGTATTGTTTTCATCGATCACAGCGATACTTGTGCGTCTTTTCTGTCGTCTTCCTCCTGAAATACACATTTAGTGCAGCAGCAGCGAGCCTGAGGGGAATATGTGGAGTTCATTCTGAGCGAGTGTGTGTTCGTTTGTGTGATTGTCTCGATGTTTGGAGTTGGAAAACTGTTACTGATTGTCAAGAGTTAAAGTTTGAGATCTGAGGGGAATCAATAATACTGCTGCTGTTTTATTTTATCTTTAATAAATCAAATGTGTTACTCCACATTCATTGTTAAAATATACTGAAACGATCATTGTCACTTTTTAACTAATAACATTAGTGCAATAAATGTAGTACAAAATCAAATATATATTTTAGATATTGGCATTATGCTGCTGTAGTTATTTAGATGAGGTGATTAGGCTAATGAAGATGAATGCCATTGGAGTTAGTTTTTATATGTTTTTCTTATGTTTTATCCATGTCATGTTGTGATTAGGAACACTATTTTCTTTCACTAGAGCAGTTTTACAGACTTTTATATTGACTCAAATAATGTGTTTCTAACAGCAAACACTCAGAATAAAGTGAGATGATCTGCTGATGATCCTGAATGGCTTGTTGAATGAGTGTTGATAGTCTGAGGATCATCAATATTAACAGATCCGCTGAAAACAACACAATAGTTCCCGTTTTCACCTCAATTCTCCAATAAATTATGTAAATTCCCATCAGCTGCAAGTGAAGACGAGCATCAGGAAGAGCTGAAATCTGCAAAGACTGAGTTTATTAAAGAGAACAGTGAGAACATGAGTGATCCAGAACCCTGCAGAATGAAACACACTGAAGATCCTGAAGAACAAAGAGGTTGGTGTTTATTCTTCATTCATTCATGATGCTGGAGAACATTCATGTTAAAAACATTCAAGCACTTCATCACTTTTAGATAATCAGTTACACCATGAAATTGGTATAAATGGTGAGTAAAAGGAGGTTTGAGAAACTCAAGCAAAACCAGATTTGTAGTTACTTACAAGTCATGTTGTATTTGTCATAAATAACAGAAGTACCCTTTCGAATGGAAAAAACTTGTACTACATCCTTTTTTTTTGGCTCGAGTTTATCACTAATTGAGGAACTACATCTACAATCTGGAACTGGTACACAGATATAGGCTATTTTAAGTATTTTAGTTGATCTCAATGAATGCACAGTGTACGTGACGCATACGTAAACAGTGACGAGTGTGAGTCGAGCACCTGGCTGTCTCTTTGCTGAGAGCGCTATTGTTTCTCACACACTTACAGATAGAGCGAGAGTCTTATACCACGCAGAATTGACGTGCTACATGTAAACTATTTTCATTGTTGTATATTCACGTAAGAATAAGTTCATTTGGATCTAATCATCCTTTTTGAGCAAGCAGAAACTAATGCTCTAACACAGACATGAACCCAGCAGGGGTCTATATTGTTATTAGTAGTAGTATTTTTATTTTTTTACATTTCAAACTTATTGATTTGATTTATTACTGTGTGTAATGATTATTGTGTGGTGTTTTTCAGCACAGTTGCACTATTTAAACATTATCTGCGCTTTACACCTGCATTTTTTTTTCCATTTCTGCAAGGGCTGAATATACATTTAAAGGGTTAATATTACATTAGATAATTGTGTCGTTATTCAAATAAATTTGTAGATCTCACTACTGAAACATGGGATTTGTGCCCTATAATGTTCAATAACTGGAAGATTTACTGAAAATGACTTCTTTTTTTTTTTTATATGTATTTCAGACCTGATGGAAGAAAGTGAGGAGAGTGAAGAACTGAGCCAAGTGCCAGAAAAGCATCACGTCAAACCTGGAAAAAAAACTTTGAGTCGCTCAAAGACTAAAAAGACATTTTTAAAGAAAAAAGACAAGAAATCTACAACCTGCACTCGGTGTGAAAAGAGATGTGTATGTAAACAAAGTCTTGCGGTTCACATGAGGTTCCACATCGGAGAGAAGCCGTACACATGTGATCAGTGTGAGAAGAGATTATCCAGCAAACAACAGCTAAATAATCACATGAGAGTTCATACTGGAGAGAAACCATTCACATGTACTCAGTGTGGGAAGAATTTTTCATACAAAGAAAGTCTTAATGTTCACATGAGGATCCACACTGGAGAAAAACCGTTCACATGTGATCACTGTGGGAAGAGTTTCACAAACCTCGCGCAACTTAAAGGGCACTCGAATATCCACACCGAAGAGAAGCTGTACACATGTGATCAGTGTGGGAAAACGTTTCTTTGGGCATTAGCCTTGAAGAAACACCTGACAGTTCATACAACGGAGAAACCACATTCATGTTCTGTGTGTGGGAAGAGTTTTTCATGGCTGCTAAGTTTACGTAGACATGAGAAAATTCACACTGGTGTGAAAGATCATGTGTGCTTTGAGTGTGGGAAGTCTTTTATTTCAGTGAACGTTTTAAAGCTGCACCAGAGAATTCACACTGGAGAGAAACCTTACAAGTGTTCACACTGCGACAAGAGATTCAATCACTCATCACATATGAAAACACATGAGAGGATCCACAGCAGAGAGAAACCACACACGTGTGATCAGTGCGGGACGAATTTCTCTTTTAAAACTCACCTAAAGCGACACATGAGGATCCATGCAGTGGAGAAACCACATCACATCAGTCTGAGATCACGGTAAATAGTTAATATGTCTTCCATAAACTTTATTTATTTAGAAAACAATCGTACATTTGGAAAACGAGTAAAGAAAATCCGAGACGGTCTCAAAACTGTCCCTTTCCCCAAGTGGCAGCATCCTAATAATCATGCTAATGTTAATCACTCAATGCTCTTAAACTTTAAAAAGGATATGAAGATTATGCTGTGTTTATGCAGATTAGCATGTTTTAATTACATTTCAGTACCTAAAAACTATCATTGTTTTGTTGCATTTATTGGTGCTTTTGCTTGTAATTTATTACTGACTGTTTACTCGTCTTTTAAAATGTTGGCTGCAACATTACGATAGTGTAGATTAGTTTACAATGTTTTATAATAATAATTTATTCTATAGTGTCCATTTCATTAATTTATCATATTTAATATTGGGTGCATCCAAGTTATTTGACACAGGTCTATTTTAACTTTTTTTTTTAAAGTAATTTGTATCATACAACGCAATAGTTACTTTACCTGGTTTTTACTTACTTTTATAATCAGTTACTAACTCAGTTACTATTTGTGAAAAATAACTAGTAACTATAACTAATTACTTTTTTGGTAACTTTACAATACGGGTGCACTAATATGCATTAATTCATGCTTAACTAATGCACAGATAATCATGAGTTAATGTTTAATTAATGAAGAACTAAACCATTAATTAATGATTACTGCATCAGCAACTAATAAAGAGTCTATATAATTAATAGATTAAGTAATATGTTAATTGCTATTAATTCAATGTGTCATTGTGTATTAATTCCTTAATAACATATTTTATTAACTAATAGTGTAAATTAATGTGTTAATTACTACAATTAGTCAAAGCTATGCACTTCAACTTCCAGTTGTCTGATTTAATTCATCATTAGCTAATGATTTGCAAAGGTATCATTATGTTATGACTTTACTTGTTGGGGCACATCATTATTAACTAGTCATTTAGTAATTGTAGTAATTTACACATGAATTTGCACTAACAATTAAGTAATTAATCATGTATTAATGCATATTAGTGTACCTGTCATTATCTGGAGGTTGAAATACAAGGCTTTGGCTCATTCTGGTAATTAACATATTAATTGACACTATTAGTAAAAAAAAAAAGTTGTTATGGAGTTAATCAAAAATTGCATGGTTAATTAATAACACTTCATGTATGAACTAATACATTAACCTTACAGACTCTTAATTAGTTCCTAATGTGATCATCATTAATTAATAGCTTAGATAATCATTAGTTACACATTAATTCAGTATTATCTGTGCATTAGTTAAGCATGAATTATAAGTGCAACCGTATTGTAAAGTGTTACCACTTTTTATTTAGCAACATGCCCAACACTGGTCATTAGTGCGTGTTATTTCTGTTAGTAACTCTGGGTTATGACGTTTTGACGTTATACATAATAAAGATTATGTTTTACATTAAAGGTGCCATATGTAATAATTGAGGTAAAAATATCCAAAAAATGAGCTACACGCATCAAAAGAATGAGAAGAAATAAGTGCAATGATGTCATTAAAAAAACGACAAGTTATAGTGCTGCCGAGATGTTAACCTAAATTAGCATGCTAAATTACTAGCCCCGGCCCGGCAGGGTGTCGTAATACCAGTTTCGGCCATGGGAGGCGGTATGCGGGCGGGCAACGTTACCACCAGCCAAACTGCTGTACACAAGTCACGCGGCTTGTGTGTACTTGAACCTGATGTCAGTCGTGTGGAAATACAGCCCACTACTACATTTCAGTTCAGGGAAGAGTTCAAAAAATGATTGGTCGACATTATGCATGAGGAATACATTTTGGTAAGTTGTAGCATACCGTATCTTTCAACAGTGTTCGTGTTCTTTTACCATTAGCTAGTAGAGATGATCGGTTCACGTGCGCTAGAGATCTGTGGTGTAACATGTACAAGCGCCAAAACGGTATTTATTCTTTGAATTGCGTAATATAATTGACAGAATCTGAGAGCTTAACTAACCTGCTTGCTAAGTGTCAATTGCGTGTAAATTCGTTAGAGTTGGCAGCTCTGAATGGCGCTAGCTTGATCAACTACACTTGATCAAAGTGTAATATAAACAAAACGAATACCGTCTGATGCTTTTATCCAAAGTGACTTACACTCTTAGAAAAAAGGGTCAACTGCAACAGACCTTTTATGCAAAAAAATGATGATAATGACAAGAAAGAACCCTTTTGGCACAAAGGCTCTTATTCATTCATATATTACATTATTCTGCAACATTTTGTAGTTGTAATTAAATTATTGTTTACTTATTAATATCACATTTTAATCATGCTGATTTTTGGAGGATTAAAACTGAAATGGCACTCTTCGTGTTTTTAACCCCATATCTTGAATTTTGTGATAATTCACACGCATTGCATTTAGGGGTTCCAAATACGGAGCGCTTTAGAACCCTTTAAGGTTCTATATAGAACCTTTTCTTCTAAGAGTGTACAATTGCTATACATGTCAGAGGTCGCACGCCTCGCATGCAGGGATTTGTGTCTATAATGTTTAAAAAAATACGATTAGAAGATCAATGTAGGCGACCTCATTCATGGAAAGAACATTTTGCTATTACATCAGAGCTCTTTCATATGTCCTTTCACTTCATGTTCCTGTCTTTGAATTATTTTTGATCTTCTGAACATGTAATTACACCTTTTTTCTTTCACTTCAGGCCTAATGGAAAAGAGCAGGAGAGAGAAGAACTGATGAAAGTGAAGGAGGAGAGAAGAACTGAGTGAAGTGAAGGAGGAGAGTGAAGAACTGAGTGAAGTGAAGGAGGAGAGTGAAGAACTGAGAGAAGTGAAGGAGGAGAGAGAAGAACTGAGTGAAGTGAAGGAGGAGAGAAAAGAACTGAGTGAAGTGAAGGAGGAACATCGTGTCCAACCTGGAGAAAAACCCTCAAAGACTAAACAGACATTTTTAAAGAAAAGAAGAACCAAGAAATCTTTCACCTGCACTCAGTGTGGAAAGAGTTTCACAAATAAACAAAATCTTGAGCGTCACATGAGAGTTCATACTTGAAGAGAAGCCGTTCACATGTGATCAGTGCAGGAAGAGCTTCACACAAAAAATACACCTTAAGGGACACATGAAGAGCCACACTGGTGAAAAGCCGTATGCATATGATCAGTGCGGCAAAACTTTTATTTTGGGATCAGCACTGAAGACACAGATGACAATTCATTCAATGGAGAAATGAAAAACTCTTTTCACAGACAGGAAATTAATATGTCAATTTCAAATCATTTTATTGGTAAAAAATCACAATATTGAAATATGATTTAAAAAATTAAAACGGATGAGATGAGATGCACTGTAAGAAAAAAAAAATCCCGTAAAAAAAACGTTATCATTTTCCTAGTTGCATTAAAGGGATTGTTCACCCAAAAATGAAAATTAAGTCATTAATTGCTCACCCCCATGCTGTACCAACCCCGTAAGACCTTCGTTCGTCTTCGGAACACAAATGAAGATATTTTTTATTAAATGTGAGAAGTGGATCACTGCTACATAGGCTGCCTAAGGGATCGAAACTTGACGGCCCAGAAAGTCATTGAAGAAAATGTTTAAATATTCCATGTGACTATATGAAGCGACAAGAATACTTTTTGTGCGAAAAAACTAACAAAAATAACGACTTTATTCGACTATTCCTTTTCTTCCTTGTAGGCCTGAGACGAGAGTTCAAGAGATTTCCACGACGCATTCGTGAGAACTGTGATCTTTTTCTACTACTTCAGTTCAGTTCTCACGCATGCGTCGTGGAAATTCATTCTCTTACAGGCCAAAGCTCTCCGGCTGTGTAGTGGAGCCTTCCAAACATCACCTATCCCTGCGCTGCAGGTGGAAGTAGGGGAGATGCCTTTAGTCCTTAGGAGGTTACAGCTCTCTCTAGCATTTTGGGTAAACTTACAAGGGCATGAGAATAGCTATACATCCTACAAAACTGGTGTTAGAGGAATGCTGGGAATATGGTCACATTGTGGAAAATAGTTTTGGATGGAGTAGTAAAAAAGAGGCAGATGAAATGGGAGTCAGTATTATACCCTGCAGCAAAACTGTTAACTTGAGTATAACTCCACCTTGGTTTTTCTGTTGTCCTGTAGTTAATATAGAAACTAAAAACATAGTTAAGACGGGATTGTATAAAAGTGTACCACAATATGTAGAAGCAAGATATAATGATACAGTACAAATATTTACAGATGCATCCAAAAGATCTAACTGGTAAAACACATTACAATACAAAAAATAACCTCAAACCACCTCTCAATTTTCTCTGCAGAAATGACGGCCATCATAATGGCATTACAGTGGGTAGAGGAACCTTAACTAGTATCCAGACTGGGAAATCTGAATGCAGGCAGGATCTGTTTGACAAAGTTCAACAGAGGCTAATAATACAGTTCACTTGGGTTCCAGCGCACACAGGTATTGAGGGTAATGAGAAGGTAGACAAGTTGGCAAAAGAAGCACTGAAAGCAGAACAAGTAAAACGTCTTAGGTTACGACTAACCTATGTTCCCTGAGAATAGGGAATGAGACAATACGTTATTGATGCTTTGGGGAAACGCCTCAGGCGTGACAGGTGTCTGAAATCACTATTAAATCACCTCAATCACATTGACCGGCGACAGCCCGTGAATCATTAACGTGAATGATTTACGTGCGACCAGGAAGTATATAAGGGCGCCTTACAAACATGACAAATCACCTTATTGTCTGAAGGAACTGTACGGCAGGCAAGGCATGGCAGGGAGACGTATTGTCTCGTTCCCTATTCTCAGGGAACATAGGTTACAGTCGTAACCTGAGACGTTCCCTTTCGAAGGGAACTCAACAATACGTCATTGACGCTTTGGGGAACGATATACCCACACCGCCAAGCTAAGGGGAGTGCATGCCCTCAGGCAGTGACAACTGTCCGAATCAGCAAATTCAAACCAGCAAATTCACACTGGGCTGTCAGTGACATCACTCCCTACGGTCATAGCCTAAGCTATAAGCCTCAAAGGAAACCTCCAACACAGTTAAATGAAAGGCCTACCTGGGCCTGCTCAAAGGCCTAGGACCACAACTTCAATTAGAAGGGGTCCTTTCAAGGGAATGTGGCTATGGAATCCGAAGGAACCCAGTCAATCACTATTCAGGGGAACGTACTCACCCTGAAATGCCACCAGGATGGCCTGACCTGGCGTCAGATACATAGATTCTTAGTCTGGCCACTTCCTGTCTGTCCGAGACAGAGCCTCTGGAATATGCCTTAGGGTAAGGCATCCAAACCCAGGGACTGCGAAGCTGGCAGTGAACCACTCGGCCAGGATCTCAGAGACGGGATATCCTGGAGAGTATGACTCTGCATAGTGCTTTACAACCCTTGCTAGCAAGGGGAGTTTCTTACTCGATCCACGGATCAACCCAGTGTATGTGTTTCAAAACACTGAGGAGGCCTGTGAGGGCCTAGGAATGAAATGCCACCAGGCAAGCCTAACCTGGTGTCACTACAGAAGACACTACAGTCTGGCCACTTCCCGTCTGTCCGAAGACAGAGCCTCTGGACAGTTGCCTCAAGAAAGGGAGGCATCCAACCCGAAGGACTGCGAAGCAGGCAGTGAACCACTCGGCCCGGATCTCAGAGACGGGATATCCTGGAGAGTATGACTCAGCATAGTGCTTTACAACCCTTGCTAGCGAGGGGAGTTTCTTTACTCGATCCACGGATCTACCCAGTGTTTGTGTTTCAAAACACTGAGGAGGCCTGTGAGGGCCTAGGAATGAAATGCCACCAGGCAAGCTTAACCTGGTGTCACCACAGAAGACACTACAGTCTGGCCACTTCCCGTCTGTCCGAAGACAGAGCCTCTGAAATATGCCTTTAGGTAAAGCATCCAAACTGAGGGACTGTGAAGCTGGCAGTGAACCGCTCGGCCTGGATTTCAGAGACGGGATATCCCGGAGAGTATGACTCAGCGTAGTGCTTTACAAGCTCTTCTCTCGAGAAGAGGGACAGGCGAGAGCGAAGACATTTGTACAGGCAGTTCCCTCGAGAACTACCTGTGAGCATCTTTTCTCCCAGACAGAAAAATGCACATAACATGTGTGTCACCCGGCTTCAGATATCTTGAGATATCAGATATCTTCAGATATCTTAATCATTCACGTTAATGATTCACGGGCTGTCGCCGGTCAATGCGATTGACGTGATTTGATAGTTTTTTCAGACACCTGTCACGCATTAGGCGTTTCCCCAAAGCGTCATTCAACGTATTGTTGAGTTCCCTTCGAAAGGGAAATACAGGTTCCACTTAGCAAATCAGAAATTAAAACAATAATTAAAGATGGTATTCATAAACTCTGGCAAGATAAACGGGATAAGGGGGGCAAAGGTAGGCATTTACAGGGGTTGGACAAAAAAACTGAAACACCTGGTTGTACTACACAATAATTTGTTAGAATGGTGAGGGCCTCATTTTGCATCCAAATACAGCACCAATTGACAGATAGAAGTCCTTCACAGTGACCAGAGGGATTATGAGCCGTTCCTCTTCCAGAACAGTGTCCAGGTCACTATATGATTCTGGTGGACTCGCTCCTCCAAAACACCTCAATAATATTCAGATCTGGTGACTGTCAGACCATGGGAGATGTTCAACGTCACTTTCATCTTCATCAAACCCTTCTGTCACAAGTCTTGCTGTGTGTGTTGGTGCATGATCATGCTGATACACGGTTTGAGCATCAGGTGCTCATGATCCTCCAGAAGGGTTTGGTAGTCCTCGGCAGTGTCGTGTCCATCAAATACAATCAGGATTGTCATGATATTGGAGCTCAAACCATCACTGATCCACCCGTGCTTCAATCTGAAGATTGGCCGCCAGGCATATAGATGTGAAACCTCCAACATTGGCTAGTGTTTCAGTTTCATTGTCCAACCCCTGTATATAGTATACAGCCAAATATAACAGTTATAAAAATGAGTTCATTATCACGGCAGGAGGAAACATCGTTCACTAGGCTGAGGCTAGGACATACAGGACTGAACAGCAACCTACACATAATAGGGAAGCATGAGACAGGAATGTGCCCATATGTGAGAAGGAAACAGAAACCGTGAAGCATGTACTTTTGACATGTAGGCAGTACCATGAAGAGAGAAAAGATTAAAAGGTTAACAAAGTCTGTTAATTTAAGCAACCTGTTGAAACTACCAGGAACACATTCTACAATAAAAGCAGTGATTTCTTAAAAAAAACACAGCAAGAAGAATTTAGTCTTATTGTTTATTTATTTTAGTTGTATTTTATTTTATATGGAGGTTGAGTTGAGGTTGAAGCTGGAGGAGCTAAAGCGCCAGCTGAAGCTTGGGCTCTAACTCTGTTTTTTTTTTTCTCCCAATGTGATCACACCTATTCCAGTAGATGGCGGTAATGCACATAGCTTGTAAACTGCCAATAAAAAGCACAGAAGAAGAAGAAGAAGCTGCTTGTGAGGACGAGCATCAGGAAGTGCTGAAATCTGCAGTTTATTAAAGAGGACAGTGAGAACATGAGTGATCCAGAACCCTGCAGAATGAAACACACTGAAGATCCTGAAGAACAAAGAGGTTGGTGTTTATTCTTCATTCATTCAGAACATTCATGTTAGAAACATTCAAGCCCTTCATTTTATTTTGATAAAGAGTTAAACTATGAAATGGGTACAAAAGTTTTGGTTTTCAAAATGGTCAGTAAAGCAAGGTTTGAAAAATGCTCACATTGATTGCCAACGTCAAGTCAAACTTTTTTTTAAGTATCAGTTCAGGCACTGGAACCCGTTCAAAAGTTTCGATTTGGCACTGATATCATAAAAACCCAAACAATATCCAACGCGAGATTCTTCTTCTTACAGTAACTTTGATTACTGTTTATTATAACCGATACCTAGGGATGCACTTATATAATTGTGTCAGATAAAGATAACTGATCATTCTTTCTGTGGTTTATTTAACTTTATTTAATTCATAATTAAATTCAATATCAATTAAAAAACTGTAAAATGGTAATATTTAATAGCAGTTGTCCATTTTTATGTCATTTCACTTACATTTTTTCTCTTTGTATTATTTTGATATTTTTTTTCCCCTTCAGACCTGATGGAAGAGAACGAGGAGAGTGAAGAACACTTGCGTCGCTCAAAGAATAAACAGACAATTTTAAATAAAAGAAGAGACAAGAAATCTACAACCTGCACTGAGTGTGGAAACAGTTTCACAAGCAAAGACCATCTTGAGCTTCACATGAGGACCCACACTGGAGAGAAACCGTTCTCATGCGATCTATGTGGGAAGAGTTTCACAAAATCAGCAAACCTTAAGAGTCACATGATGATCCACACCGGAGAGAAGCCGTTCACATGTGATCAGTGTCAAAAGAGATTCTCACACAAAAAAACTCTTAAGCTTCACATGAGGACCCACACTGGAGAGAAGCCGTATGCATGTGATCAGTGTGGGTCGAGCTTCACACAAAAACAAAGTCTTAATGTTCACATGATGATCCACACTGGAGAAAAGCCGTTCACATGTGATCAGTGTGAAAAGAGATTCCCACACAAACAAACTCTTAAGCTTCACATGAGGACCCACACTGGAGAGAAGCCGTATGCATGTGATCAGTGTGGGTCGAGCTTCTCACATAAACAAAGTCTTAATGTTCACATGATGATCCACACTGGAGAAAAGCCGCACGCATGCGATCGGTGTGGAAAGAGTTTCATACAATCATCACACCTCACTCGTCACATGATGATCCACACTGGAGAGAAGCCGTTCTCATGTGAACAATGCGACAAAACATTTCTTAGGGCATCATACCTGAAGACACACCTGACAGTTCATACGAAGGAGAAGCCGTATTCATGTTCTGTGTGTGGAAAGAGTTTTTCACTGCTGCAATATTTAAAAGTACATCAGAAAGTTCACACTGGTGTGAGAGAGTACATGTGCTTTGAGTGTGAGAAGACTTTTGCAACAGGGAAAGATTTAAAACGGCACCAGAGAATTCACACTGGAGAAAAACCTTACAAGTGTTCACACTGTGACAAGAGATTCCGTCTGACATCAACTCTGAAAACACACGAGAAGATCCACAGCGGAGAAAAACCTTATGAGTGTTCACACTGTGACAAGAGATTCAGTCTGCCATCAAATCTGAAAACACACGAGATGATCCACACTGGAGAAAAACCTTACAAGTGTTCACACTGTGACAAGAGATTCAGTCAGTCATCAAATCTGAAAGCACATGAGAGGATCCACAGCGCCGAGAACTCACACACGTGTTATCAGTGCGGAAAGGTTTTCTCTATTAAAACTCACCTGAAGCGACACATGAAGATCCATACAGTGGAGAAAACACATCAACACAGTCTGCGATCACAGTAAGTAGTTCATCTTTATGTGCTGAGCTTTAAAGTCTCTTCTTTGTAATTTAGTTTCCTAACAGCCACGATGAGCAACAGGTCATCTTGGTGGTTGCTTGCTATCTGTTTCAATTTTTCACATTAATATGAGATATTGAGTTATAATATATCATTATTATGAGATCATTTCTCATTATGAGATGTTAAGTTGTTATTATGAGAAAGCATCTTGTTATTTATATAGTGCTTTTAATAATATAGATCAAACTAAATTAAAGTAACAGATTGTTTTGGCTTAATGGTAGCTCTAGAATAAAGTTATTTTCCAGCTAAAGTTCCAGCTAGTTCTCTTCCGTCACAAAGATGATTAGTTATTGTGATGATGGACACTTTGGTTCAGTGTGGGTGATGGAAGAAGATAAGGGGTCGGCGAATATTGGAGCGAATATTGGTGTTTTATTTCAATAACTCTGTTCACGGCGACTCAGCGCTCTTCTCATTAAACTCCAAATAAACGATCACTGCAGATCAAACTCTTCCTGCTGTACACAGCTTTCTCCGGTTCCCAGGCGTCACACTCTTCCCGCTGACCACAGCTTTCTCGGTCACGGCCACGGATAAACCGGGGGAGCCATCCGGCCTGCAGTCTCCCCCACCCTTCGGGAGAGAAAGTCACCCTCTATCTCCTGAGTCAAGACCGCACCCAACCGATGTCCGATGCGTTTGTTTGCAGAGAAAAAGGAGAGAGAAGTTAGGAGCCTGCAACAGCGGGCCACCACACAGGGCTGCCTTTATTTGGGTGAAAGCCTGCTGACACTGCTCCGTCCACTTGACGGTATCCGGTGCTTCCTTTTTAGTCAGATCAGTCAGCGGACTAGCAAGGTCCAAATAATTAGGTACAAACCTTCTATAATATCTTGTTAGCCCCAGGAACTGTCTAACCTCCTTTTTGGTCTTGGGTCTCGGACAGGTCGCAACCGCTGCTGTCTTGTCAATTTGGGGACGCACCTGCCCATGACCCAAGTGGAAGCCCAGATACCTAACCTCTACGTGCCCAATAGCACACTTCCTCGGGTTGGCCATAAGCCCCGCCCCTTTCAGCGATTTGAGGACCAAGTCATTACTATAGATGATATTTTATGAGGAGACAAATTGGTGTAATCCGAATGGCGTCGTGAAAGCGGTCTTTTCTTTGGACATTGGAGATAAGGGGATCTGCCAATATCCCTTCGTTAAATCCAGTGTCGAATAAAAGCGAGCTGTGCCTAGACGATCAAGTAACTCGTCAACCCTTGGATTGGATACGCATCGAATTTCGATACGGCACTCACCACTGTCGCCAGCATCACTGACTCCACCTCACTCCACTTTTTAAGGAGATTGAGGTGGTATATCTGATGTGTTCCACCCCTGTCTGAACGAGCAACCTCATAGTTGAGATCATTAACGCGCCGTGTAACCACAAACGGTCCTTGCCACTTGGCGAGTAATTTTGAACTGGATGTGGGAAGTAATACGAGTACTTTATCCCCCAGTGCAAATTTACGTAGTTTAGCCCCCCTGTTGTACAGCCGATTCTGTTTGTCCTGCATCCGCAACAAATTCGCCATGGAGAGCCGCCCCAAAGTGTGGAGTTTTGTTTGCAAGTCCAGGACGTACTGAATTTCATTTTTACTATTCTAGGGTCCATCCTCCCAAGCCTCCCTAAAAACGTCTAGCACCCCTCGGGGTTGGCGCCCATAGAGAAGCTCGAAGGGGGAAAACCCCATGGAGGCTTGGGGGACCTCCCGTACAGCGAACAAGAGGGGTTCTAACCACTTATCCCAATTTTTAGCATCTTCCCGTACAAACTTACGAATCATGGGTTTTAACGTGCGATTAAATTGTTCTACCAAGCCGTCTGTTTGTGGGTGATAGACGCTGGTTCGGATCGATTTAATGCTCAATAATTCGTACAGTTCGCGAATTGTGCGTGACATAAACGCTGTGCCCTAATCGGTGAGAATCTCTTTCGGGATTCCCACCCAGGAGATTAACTGAAACAGTGCACTCGCAACACTTTTCGCCGAGATGTTGCGAAGCAGCACTGCTTCGGGATATCGTGTTGCATAATCCACCAGAACTAATGCAAAGCGATGTCCCCGTGCTGATCGCTCTAATGGCCCGATGAGGTCCATACCAATTCGTTCGAAGGAGACCTCCACTAAAGGAAGGGGGCACAAAGGTGCTTTACTATGGGCCGGTGGGTTTACCAAACTGACATTCGTGACAAGACGCGCACCACCTGCGCACGTTCTCATGAATGCCCGGCCAGAAAAAATGGGTCATTAGACGATTTATTGTGGCTGACTGCCCTAGGTGTCCCGCCATCGGATTACAATGAGCCGCCTGGAATAACATTTCCCGACGGCTCCTAAGAACGAACAACTGTGTTGTATCTTGTTTTGTCTGGGTGTCCTGAGTCACCCGATACAACCTATCTGTAATCACGGCAAAATAGGTATACGAGAGCGACTGGTCTGGCCGAACCTGCTGCCCGTCGATGACACGGGCTCAAAGGCATTTTTCAGCGTGTCATCTCGGGACTGTTCCAGAGGAAAGTCATCGCGAGGAAAGATTGTATTTTCGGACACACTCGGTTCCTCTGAAACAGCCACCGATGGTCCCGGTACAGCTTCGCTGGCCTGAACAGACGCTCTCCTCCGGTGCCTTTGTTTTCGCCCAGGAGCACCCGCACACAAATATGCCAATAAAGACTGAAACCCCAGCCGATTTGTCCCCAAAATGAGCGGGTGCCGGAGGTGCGGATTAACTGCCACCTCCACGCTATGCTTTTGTCCCCTAAATTGGAACGCGACTGACATGAGGGGATACCCCTCCACCTCGCCGTGCACACACCACACCATAACCTTGCGGCTCTTATCCAACGCCACTGGCTGAATCAAACTTTGATGGATTGAGGTCTGGTTACAATGCGAATCCACCAAGGCTTCATATGTACCCCGCTTAATACTCACAGGTATTTGGTACAGCCCAGACTGATCGGGGTGGCCGGTGGCGTGTAGGGGACCCTAATCAAAGTGTCCACTTCCACCTTGATTAGGGTGGAACGCCGCCTCGGGACCTGGGAGCAGGGGACAGGGCGAGAGAGAGGGGAGAGAGAGAGAGAAGATGGTAAGGGATCGCCGACCCCCGGACACGCCACCAGCTGATCCTCTGCCAACTGGATGGCCTGGTCCAGTGATGTCGGCCGGTGGCACTGGACACACTGCGCGGTCTTCTTGGGCAGTTTTGCGACAAACTGTTCCAGTACCACCAGCTCGATGACTCCCTCGGCCATCAGCCATCTGCGGCAGGCGTCCCGGAGCTGCTGCGCAAAGACGAAGGGTTGGCCGGCCTCCCCCAACTCGAGGGTCCAGAACCGCTGACGACTCTGCATCGGGGACTGGCCGACCCGCTGTAGAATAGCGTGCTTGGGGTCTTTGTAGACCAGGAGGTTGCTCACTGGCAGTTGTTGAGCTGCGATCTGCGCCTCCCCCGACAGCAGGGGGATCAGGCGCGTCACCCAGTCAGCAGGCGGCCAGTCCCAAGACGCGGCCGACCTCTCGAAGAGGTCCAAGAAGGCCTCAGGGTCATCGAGGGTCGTCGCATCTTGTCGCGGCCGGGACCTGGACCCCCTCGTCTACCCAGCTCCGGAACTGCTCGCGGTCCGCCCATTGTCCTTGGAGGAGTGTGTCGATCCGTTGTTCCTGCTGCTCCTCCATCTTCAACAGGGCCTCCTGGTGTTGTTGGTGAAGTGCCACGAGCGCCTGGATGATTTCCGCAAACGGCGAAGACAGAGGGTTTCTGACGGCGGCCTCTCCTTCCATCCCGGGTTTCGGCACCAATGTGATGATGGACACTTTGGTCCAGTATAATCCAGTAAAAACACTGGGCGCTCGGCGCTTCAGCGTGAAAATAAAAACGCTCAGCGCCTTGGTACGCTCATGCCGTTTAAAAAACGCGGCGCTCCCATTGAAAACATACGTCAGGCATGTGGAAAAACGTTTTGGTGGACACACGGCCTTAAGTTCTCTCTACGCAAACTTTAAAAAAATGTCAACCTGTGAGAACGCTGATCTTTGTATGTAATCAGCAATATTTAAAAATGTATACGGGAGCCAATGCAGGGTTGACAGAACTGGGCTAATATGGTCATTCTTCCTGGTTCTGGTAAGAACTCGAGCAGCTGTGTTTTGAACTAGCTGCAGTTTGTTTATTAAGAGTGCAGGGCAACCCCCCAGTAGAGCGTTAAAGATCAAACTCTTCCTGCTGTACACAGCTTTCTCTGGTTCCCAGGCGTCACACTCTTCCAGCTGATCACAGCTTTCTCGGTCACGGCCACGGATAAACTCGGATTGTCTGGACACAGCTCCGAACACCGTCACACACACACAAGCTCCAAGGTCTCTCTCAACACTCTCAACACTCTGTCCACCTGGCCCGCTTAAATGCGCTGTCCTCACGCCGATCACTGAAATCACAAACAGGTGTTCATCGTTTGAACTTGACCTATTTACTTCCACTCGGCTCCTGTTCCCCCACGACACTGTTTATCCACCAAAGCGTTTTTAGCCAGCTGAAAATGCCAGACGCTCTGCTGAAGACGCCGTGCTTTGGGCGCTTGAGAGCGTTTTGGCAGCGCAGCGTTTTTTCCGTTGAGACGTTTCGTTGCTATGATACAGAATATCCGCAGCAGTTTGAATGTTGTGACAGTTTGTCGGTGTGGTATTAGTCCCGCCCCTCCTCCACTGTGATTGGATGGCTGGGTAAAAAGTGACAGTGATGAGCGCTGCATTTTATGTAAAGTTGAACATTTTTCAACTCCCAGCGACCAGTAAAAACACTGGGCGCTCTGCGCTTCAGCATAAAAAAAACGCTCAGTGCCTTGGTACGCTCATGCCGTTTAAAAAACGCGGCGCTCCCATTGAAAACATACGCCAGGCATGTGTAAAAACGTTTTGGTGGACACACGGCCTTAAGTTCTCTCTACGCAAACTTTAAAAAAATGTCAACCTGTGAGAACGCTGATCTTTGTATGTAATCAGCAATATTTAAAAATGTATACGGGAGCCAATGCAGGGTTGACAGAACTTGGCTAATATGGTCATTCTTCCTGGTTCTGGTAAGAACTCGAGCGGCTGTGTTTTGAACTAGCTGGAGTTTGTTTATTAAGAGTGCAGGGCAACCCCCCAGTAGAGCATTACAATAATCTAGCCTTGATATCATGAACACATTAACTAACTGTTCCACATTTATCAGTGATAAATCCTTCCTGATATAATCATATAATAATTCCCAAATCATTCCCAATAATGTAATGCTAAATTATTACTAGAAAGTTTTTAATTAGTATAAGATAGTAAGTCATAATTATGACATTTCTCATTATTGTGACTTTCCTATTTATATTATTTAACTGTTGCCATACTTTGTCCCACTGACATCATGAGTAAAACAGATGAATGTAAATCAACTTTCTATTTCTGACATAATTAGTTGTTGCAGCCCTAGTTCATTTAAGTTGGTTTTGATTATTAAACAATTGAGGAGAAATTGTTTGTTGCTGTGGCTTCGACTGTGGCTTTGTTGCTGTTAGTTACATTTTCAGGCACTTTTAGTTTGTTTTCTCAGTTTGTCTTAGTTTTCCCGCCACTCATCTGTTGTCATCGTCATTCATTTGTTCTGCACAGGAGTTCTTGAAATATTTATCATGCATATTATCATTTTTGGCAGAACTACCAGAAAGCATCTGGAAGGAGAGGACAGAGAGAACGACAGTGATCCAGAACCTGCCGAATGAAACACACTGAAGATACTGAAGAACCAAGAGGTTGGTGTTCATTCATTCATTCATTCATTCATATTGCTGAAGAACATGCTTCTGCTCACCAGATTTACATTGTTTCATGACCAAACTAGTGACTTATAACACAAATCATCATTAAAATAGATTATAGTCGTGAACCGCAGTTGTGCACCAGATTTGATGGGATTGAAATGACTAATGAACTCATCAGTGATCTTGACTTTTGGATTCACTTTTCATTTTACATTTGTCTCTCATTTGAAATCTCACTTGATTTAATGTTTCTTTTAGACCTGATGGACATGAAAAAGAAAGGAAAAACAGAAAAATCTGTCTCCAGATGAGTGACGGGAAAACCAATGTAAATCAAGTCTGAAGATTCACTCTGGGAAGAAGCGGCTCAGGCTTTCGCTCTGAAATCACATCTTCTCATTCTGAAGAAAGATCATTTAACTGTGAACTGTGATAAGGCCATAACTCTTTTAAGAGAGACATGAATCTGATATACACTTTTAACTCTATTTTCATGATAAAATCTAGTTTCTCTTCCACTTCTACTCTTCCATGTAAATGCAAGATATACTTCCATGGATCTTTTATAAAAACGTTTATTGGGTTTATAAAAAAATACAGAGAGCCATGTTTGAAAGAAATGTATTATTGATGAAATGGATAAGTAAAATGTAATCAGTATTAAGAAACAAATATTATGTGTGCATATAGTAAGGAAAAGCAAGTATTACCCTAGTGTTGTGTTCCAGACCAAAAGGAGAAGGATTCTGAGAGGCCGCACACGAAGAAGGAAGACAATGAAGGATAAAGCTTTTTATAAGAGGATTAATTAATTTGTGTTGATGTTAGACGCTGGAAGCTGGGTCCGTCTCTCCATTGTTTGATGATCCAAGCCTGACACCTGCTGGTGGAACTTGTGAACTGCTGCTATTGAACAACAACTTGTTAAAGGGTTAGTTCACCCAAAAATGAAAATTAAGTCATTAATTACTCACCCCCATGCTGTACCAACCCTGTAAGACCTTCGTTCGTCTTCGGAGCACAAATGAAGATATTTTTGATTAAATTTGAAAGCTGTATCACTTCCACATAGGCAGCCTAAGGGAATGACACTTGACGGCCTAGAAAGTCAAAGAAGAAAATGTTTAAATATTCCATGTGACTACAGTGGATCAACTATAAGTTTATCAAGCGACAAGAATACTTTTTGTGCAAAAAAACAAACAAAAATAACGACTTTATTCGACTATTCCTTTTCTTCCTTGTTGGCCTGAAACGAGACTTCAAGAGATTTCCACGACGCATGCGCGAGAACTGAACTGAAGTAGTTGAAGGAGATCGCAATTCTCGCACATGCGTCGTGGAAATCTCTTGAAGTCTCGTTTCAGGCCAAGAAGGAAGAAAAGGAATAGTTCGAATGAAGTCGTTATTTTTGTTTGTTTTTTCGCACAAAAAGTATTCTCGTCTCAAAAACTTTCTCTTCTCAAAAACTTTATAAAACTACATAATAACGAGTCTCTGCTTGCTATAAAAATCTAAGCCACGGAGGGGTCTTTCTACTAGACTGTGAGTATGAATTTTGAAAACGTATTATCTTTTGTAGAATTCAACCAACTTTACCTTACCTGAGAGAATAAATAAAATGAGGTAGAAGAAGGTGAATGATCTATAATTAGGTGGTGTGGTAGATCTGACACCATAAAACAATATTTGACCCAAATTTGGGTTAAAACAACCCAGCATTTTTTAGACTGAGTGCCCCATCTTAAGGCCATTGCACACTTGTATATTTATTTATTTATGTATTTCGAGCAATATATAATTACACATGACAAGGCAATAAGAAGCATTTTGATTAATCTATATGTAACCAGGGCAGGAATAGCCTGATATTTAATTAATTTCCCTGGCGACGATTTGCCCTTATGTTTGCTTTGACTCAGCCTCTCGCGCTGTCCCCTTTAAGAGTGTGCGCATGCGCAGATGAGAGAGAGCGCGTCAGACTGAAGGAGCGTAGTTTGAGAGTCACACAGAGGGAGAAATAGTCGATTAAACTGTTAAAGAGTGAACATTTCCAGTTTAATATTGACTTGTGAATCTGTGGTGATAACAGTCGTGTGGTAGTGTCGAGTGTATGGTTGATTTAGCTGCTTATACGATTGATATGATTGTTCCTGCACGTGAGAGATGTGGGGAAAGCAAATTCAGAGACGTTGGGGAAGATTGAGCGTGAGTTAATCTGTAATATCTTATAAAAAGTTGTTGAAATGTTAAATAACACTGTTTATTTCATATATTAATGGAACATTGAGTAAATATTGTTCTCTATGCCGTGTTAGAGGGGAGAACAGCCACACGTGATATTGCACGTGCACCAGCCACTTCGTGAGCTTTTTCTGTGTGCTTCAAAGTCTCAATAAGAGTGAGTTTTGATCATTTTCTTCTCCTAAAGTGTTTGTGTATAATTTATTAAGAATATTTGTACCTTTGATCAAATGTATACTGTTTTCTTGAGTGTAGTTACTGTTTGATTTGAACAGAAGGGGTCAAACTGTGGATTTGTAATGTATTCATGTGGTGAAATGTGCAGATTTCTCATGTATAGTGTTTTATTTCTTTCATTAGGCACATACAGGCAAATACCGTTGTTTTTGGCACTCATTTATTTGTTTCTATTTGTTTCTCTGATTATCAATGTAAAAAACACATTTTCTAGTCGTTTTGTTTTATAAGACTCTTATTACTTTGTTTTCTGCACTCATTAGAGTCAGTTTGACAGTCAATTTTGTTTAGCCAATTTCACTTATTAATAAGAATGTTCTTCTAAAACTGTTTTTCTCCTGAACAAAAATCTACATTAACGCTGTGTCACATTTGAGGTTCAGTCAGCAATAAAACAACCCGTTTCTTTAGATGTTATGGCTGTGTCTTATTTCCTGACATAACGTTTGAACGGCCACATATACAAGCCATTAAATTCATCAACTTTAACAAATAATTCTATCTATTGCTCGAAACAGAGTGGGTAGAAGTCTATCTTATTTGAACCCACCCCGGTTACCATTAACATGAAAAACAAAAACAAAACAATGGTAGCTGCTTCCTTAAACATTATCATAACACTCAATTACAATATTTTTATATATAAATAAATATTAGAAAACACAAGAAGGGGAACCCCTTCTCCCTCACCAAAAGCAAAACAATACCAAAGATAAAACACAACATATCCTAAATACACACCATATATGATCTTAGGTAAAAATTATAATAATACCAACAATGGTAATCAAATACCTACAAGGTAAAATAAGATGGATTATGAATACATGGATCCATCTATGATAATACCAACAATGGTAATCAGAATACCTTCAGGGTAATATAACACTGAGTCATTTAGATTAAATGTTAGTCTACTGTGTTAAAATATACTGGAACAGAGACTGCTAAATACTTTACATTGAGCCTATCAGTCACAAGAGACATTTCAAATCCATACATGAATAATATTGATTGTGTTCTTTATTTTTAAAAGTAGTATGATTGCTTGCAGTTTCTGCACATTTTAATGACTTTTAGTTGATGACTATAGGCTTTTATCATGTATCCTGACTCAAATAATGTGTTTCTAACAGCAAACACACAATAAAGTGAGATGATCTGCTGATGATCCTGAAAGGCTTGTTGAATGAGTGTTGATAGTCTGAGGATCATCAATATTAACAGATCTGCTGAAAACATTCTTTATTTCATGACAATAGTTCCTGTTTTCACCTCATTTATTATGCTGATGTCTTCACAGCTCCTGTAAATGGACACTTAAAGCTCATTTCATTGGTGTCAGCAGACTGGGGATTTGTTGGCTACTATACATTTATATCTGTCTTTTTCTTACCATTATTTATATTTGGAATAATTTCATTACATTATTTATATTCTGTTATCAATAAGTATAAAACAAACTCAGTAACAGATATATTTTAATTTGAGCAGATCAGCTCCTCCCTCTAGAATTTACCAAATTTGAAGTCCCTCCCACATCAGTCACATCACCAGCGAAGCTCCGCCCACTGCGATTCTCCTATAAATGCTGGAATATTCCCATCATCTACAAGTGAAGTTGAGCAAAGACTGAGTTTATTAAAGAGGACAGTGAGAACATGAGTGATCCAGAACCCTGCAGAATGAAACACACTGAAGATCCTGAAGAACAAAGAGGTTGGTGTTTATTCTTCATTCATTCATGATGCTGGAGAACATTCATGTTAGAAACATTCAAGCCCTTCATCACTTTTAGATAAAGAGTTAAACTATGAAATGGATACAAAAGTTTTGGTTTTCAAAATGGTCAGTAAAGCAAGGTTTGAAAAATGCTCACATTGATTGTCAAAATCAAGTCAGACTTTTTTTAAGTATCAGTTCAGGCACTGGAACCCGTTCAAAAGTTTCGATTTGGCACTGATATCATAAAAACCCAAACAATATCCAACCCGAGATTATTCTTCTTACAGTAACTTTGATTACTGTTTATTATAACCGATACCTAGGGATGCACTTATATAATTGTGTCAGATACAGATAACTGATCTTTCTTTCTGTCGTTTATTTAACTTTATTAAATTCATAATCTCAATAAAAAAAACAGTAAAATGGTCATATTTAATAGCAGTTGTCCATTTTAATGTAATTTCACTTACATTTTTTCTCTTTATACAATTTTGATATTTTTTCCCTTCAGACCTGATGGAAGAGAACGAGGAGAGTGAAGAACACTTGCGTCGCTCAAAGAATAAACAGACAATTTTAAATAAAAGAAGAGACAAGAAATCTACAACCTGCACTCAGAGTGGAAACAGTTTCACACGCAAAGAACATCTTAAGGTTCACATGAGAGTTCACACTGGAGAAAAACCGTTCTCATGCGATCTATGTGGGAACAGTTTCACAAAAACAGCAAACCTTAAGAATCACATGAGGATCCACACCGGAGAGAAGCCGTTCACATGTGATCAGTGTGAAAAGAGATTCTCACAAAAACAAAGTCTTAAGCTTCACATGAGGACCCACACTGGAGAAAAGCCGTACGCATGCGATCAGTGTGGGAAGAGTTTCACACAACCATCATACCTCACTCGTCACATGATGATCCACACTGGAGAGAAGCCGTTCTCATGTGGTCAGTGCGGGAAGAGTTTCACACAATCAGCACACCTTAAGAGTCACATGATGATCCACACTGGAGAGAAGCCGTTCTCATGTGAACAGTGCGACAAAACATTTCTTAGTGCATCAGATCTAAAGAAACACCTATCGGTTCATACGAAGGAGAAGCCGCATTCATGTTCTGTGTGTGGAAAGAGTTTTTCACAGCTGCAATATTTAAAACTACATCAGAAAGTTCACACTGGTGTGAGAGAGTACATGTGCTTTGAGTGTGAGAAGACTTTTACTACAGAAAACAGTTTAAAACTGCACGAGAGAATTCACACTGGAGAAAAACCTTACAAGTGTTCACACTGCGACAAGAGATTCAGTCTGTCCGGACATCTGAAAAAACATGAGAAGATCCACAGCGCCGAGAACTCGCACACGTGTGATCAGTGCGGAAAGGTTTTCTATTTTAAAACTCACCTGAAGAAACACATGAAGATCCATACAATGGAGAAATCACATTAGACCTGATGGACGTGAACAAGAAAGGAAAAACAGAAGCATATAAATCTGTCTCCAGATGAGTGACGGGAAAACCAATGTAAATCAAATCTGAAGATTCACTCTGGGAAGAAGCGGCTCAGGCATTCGCTCTGAAATCACATCTTCTCATTTAACACAGTCTCATCCCAAAAAGTCATATAACTGACGTCTTGGGACGTCTTTTGACCATACGTCAATATCCGCCTTTTTAGGGCCCCCTTAAACGTCGGTAGATGGCGATCCCGGGCCGTCATATAACTGACGCTTTACCTTTAACGTCAGTTAGGTGACGGGTTAGGTTTAGGGTTAGGTTTAGGTCTGGGGTAGAGTTAGGATCCCATAACCTCATCTACCGACGTTTAAGGGGGCCCTAAAAAGGCGAATATTGACGTTTGGTCAAAAGACGTCCCAAAACGTCAGTTAAATGACGTCTTGGGATGAGACCGGGTTGTCTCATTCTGAAGAAAGAGCATTTAAAGCAACAATATGTAACTTTATAGGCTCTATACACAACTTACTTCCGCATTCTGTTAAAACAGGTCTCATCGCTTCCGGTCCAGGTCTTTTGTATGTGTTTCATGATTTTTTTTGCGGTTTTACTCAAGATAACTTAAAAGGAGCGAGCCAAGATTAGCATAACATAATTAACATCTCGGACTCTGACCTGACGGATGCAGAGAAAGCATTGCTTCGTAAAGGACTTCGCTTAAAGTGGACTCATTTCAATTCTTTAGACAGCTGCATCTTAAACATTTCTTCTCTAGGTCTAATGTCTTATTTGTCTGTAGAAACTATGATTCGGATACAAGAGAGACCCTGAGAGAAGTCACTCCATTTAAAAAGAAATCAAAGTTTCTGCCTTCCTCTAACTTAAATCCCACCATTGTCACGTTCAGTCAGTTAGTTGAGCAAGATATGGCTAAATTAAGTAGATCTTGTACTTCTAATAATAAGAATATGGCAAAAAGTGAATTGGATGCGTTACGTTCTAAACAGGACATCATAATTCGCCCAGCTGATAAAGGGGGCGCTGTTGTTGTTGTTATAGGATTAAAGAATTATGATTGTGGTATATTCAAATTATTAAATGATGAAAAACATTATCAGCCCCTTCTTCGCAACCCTACATCCAGCACCAAAAGTATGATTGATGATTTTATTGATTCATCTCATAAAAAAGCCTGGATTACTGATAAAGAAAGGGCTTTTTTACTAAGTGACCATCCTCGATGTCCAGTATTCTATGGTTTACCTAAATTTCACAAGCGACTTGATGATCCTCCTTTGCGCCCTATTGCATAGGAAGCTTAACAGAGCCTCTTTCACAATTTGTTGATTTTTTTTCTAAGACAATATGTTCATAGTTCATAGTTTACCATCTTATCTTGGGGATTCAACTGATGTTCTAAATTTCAACATGACATCATGACTTTTGCGTAAACCTACACGCCACTTTCGAGTCAAGTGGCGTGTTATCTCTACGCATTTTGAGCTATCCGTGTGTATCCGCGTATTTGCACGTATGTCTACGCCATTAACGTCCGCGTCATTCCGCGTGTCTGTACACGACGTCAAATCTCCACTCATAAATGCCATTTACCCCAGTGACGGTTAGGTTTAGGGACGGGGTTGAGGTAAGTCATATATTTATATAACGTTAAGTCAACGGCGTTCATAAACACGCTGAAAAGCGATTATGCGTCTTGATAGCACGCCAAAAATGGAAATACGAATTGGCGTGTCATACACACGCTGCTTCATGAGATCAGTCTGTAAATTTGATTGACAACTGAAGTGTGAAAGTGATGATGTCCTTGTATCGTTGGATGTGCAAAGTCTATATACATGTATACCTCATCAACTAGGCTTACAAGCCATTTCACATTATCTAACTACACGTTCCACTTACCTCCATCTGAATTTCTTTTAAACTTGGTGGAGATTATCTTATCCAATAATTCTTTCAAATATAAGCATACATTTTATTTACAACTCCAAGGGACTTCTGTGGGGTCTTCGTTGGGGTCTTCGTTTGCACCTTCATACGCTTGTCTTGTAATGGGTCTGGGGGAGGAAAATTACATACAGAACATCGAAAACAACCCGTTCCATTCGAAATTATCACTTTGGCGTAGATACATAGACGATGTTTTTTAATATGGAAAAGTACAACTAGTGAGTTGTCTCATTTTTTGACTTATGTAAACTCTACCGCAGACTATTTGTCGTTCACTATGGAATCTAACAAGTTGTCTATTGATTTCTTAGACCTTACCATCTTTAAGGATGAAAATAATATTCTACAATCCACTGTCTACCGCAAGCCTTTCAGCAGGAACACCCTGTTAAGAGCAGACAGTAATCATTCGCCTCATCTGGTTCGTAATATACCAGTGGGCCAATTTTTAAGAGTCCGAAGAAACTGTAGCATTACTAGCGAATATTTGTCTAAAGCTAGCGCGTCGTTTTGAACAACGTGGTTATGACAAATCTTACATTAGTAAAGCATGGAATAGGGCTCTAAATACAGATCGCGCTTCATTGTTAAAGAAAAAATCTAAGCTTCACACGACATCCAATAATAATTTTTTTTTCACTAGCTATACTCCAGCAGCAGGAAGAATAAAAAATATAATTCGAAAATATTGGCATGTCCTTAACAGTGACCCTGCACTTAAAGACATCTGCGCTGAGCCACCCAGATTTGTATTCAGACGCACGCGTAACATTCGTAACTGATTGGTTCATTCGGAAATGACTTCGCCTCTGCCGACCACCTGGCTCTCTAGCCCACCTTTGGGCTTTTACAAATGTGGCAACTGTGCGCAATGCTCCAATTCGACCAACACTAAAGACTTTTCACATCCACGTACTGGTAAGAAATATTGTATTTCTTCATTTATTAATTGTAACAGCACTCACGTAATATACATGCTAAAGTGTTCCTGTGGACTGGTGTACATTGGTCAAACAAAACGTCAATTGAAACTAAGAATAGCTGAGCACAAAACAGCAATTCGCACCCAGAACTTAACTTATGCCATGGCGAGGCATTATAAGCAGGCCAATCATGGTTCCCCTGCATCTTTGAAGTTTTGGGGAATTGAGAAAATTACACCCCCACCTAGAGGTGGTGATATTATTAATAAACTTCTTTGCAGGGAAGCGTTCTGCATTCACTCTTGAACCTGTTGGTTTTAATGAAGAATGTAACTTATCATGCTTTCTCTAACAACTTTTTTTGTACATATATTCTGTGAGTTGTAGATATTTTGATTCCCTTGATACCGTGTGGATTCCACATGTTTCTTACATTTACCTTTCAGGCATGTTTGTGCATTTAATCTTTTTAATGATTGTTTGAGTGTGGCACCTTGGTTTTGATGAGTGCGTCATGGGCGAGTCACGATCCTTATTAAGGGCTTCATTACTCATTCTCTCCAAGGACTCTGACGAAGATGTAGTTGTACATCGAAACGTTAGTCAATTGTTGCACCTCTCAACATGACATCATGACTTTTGCGTAAACATATACACCACTTTCGAGTCAGGTGGCGTGTTATCTCCACGCATTTTGAGCTATCCGCGTGTATGCGTATATGTCTACGCCATTAACGTCTGCGTCATTCCGCGTGTCTGAACACGCAGTCAAATCTCCAGTCATAAATGCCATTAACCCCAGTGACGGTTAGGTTTAGGGATGAGGTTGAGGTAAGTCATATCTTTTTTTTACCTAGGATGGTAAGGGAACAGTTATAAATGCTATTAACCCCAGTGACGGTTAGGTTTAGGGATGAGGTTGAGGTAAGTCATATCTTTTTTTTACCTAGGATGGTAAGGGAACAGTTATAAATGCTATTAACCCCAGTGACGGTTAGGTTTAGGGACGGGGTTGAGGTAAGTCATATATTTATATAACGTTAAGTCAACGGCGTTCAGAAACGCGCTGAAAGGCGATTTTGCGTCTTGATAGCACGCCTAAATGGAAATACGAATTGGCGTGTCATACACACACTACTTCATGAGATCAGTCTGCACCTCTAATAAATGTGCTACTAAGAAGATTTGTGCACCAGTGTTTCTCCCGTTCTATTAGCATAACCAATGTCCCTCACATGTGCAGATTGATATTTAAACGTTTTATATTTTTTCTTCTTCACAGTAACGTTTAGATATTTAAAGGGAATAAAACGCCAATAACAAAGTGAACTAGGTAGGTTAGCTGATTACCTTAAAAATCCATAGATATCATAGTCAGTTCTTACGGCCATTAACACTTTCTATGACAAGCGGATGCGACGAGACCCGTTTTCCGGTTTGGTCACGTGACGCTATTGGCCACAAGAGGGCGCCGTTTCCAACAATAACAAAGACGTATGTATGTGACGCAGTGACGAGCTGAATGATGGGACTTGCTGTCAAGCTGATGGATCTAATAATGTTTAAGGATTAGTGAAAACACTCATGTTTTAAAACATTACAGTGGTATGAAGCAGGTCGCGATTGCTAATAAGATACATCACACGCGAGTCCCGCGGATATAAAGGAATAAGGAAATTTCATCCTATTGAACTACACGCAAGTGCTGGATTACTCACACAGGTCAGTTTATTAGATGAATTAAGGGAAGTGAGGGAAACGCAGCACTGTTCCACTTGGTATTACGTTACACTATCACACTAAACAGCATTTAAATGTGTGTTAAGTTATAATGTTATTCTACTAGCCTACGTGTTAATGTAGTTCGTTCCTATACGAAACTAGCAGCTTGATCAACATAAGAATAACATACTGACCTAGATATTCTAACATTTCTTCATGTCAGGCTAACGTTATAACATTGATTTGTTTTATGTACATTTGCTCACCTGTCTAATAAAGCTGTAAAGTCGTGACTCGTGAAGTTCTGTCAAGTCCAAGTTAGTCACGGACGCTAGCTTTCTGTCGTGTGGAAGTCAGTCTCGGACGCTAGCTCTCGGCATCTCAAAAACGGCACGCTGATATTGATCCTCATTCTAGTTCTCCTTGTTTTTCCCAAAGTCTGCTTGCCATGGTATGTTTGAACGAAACAAGAAGTAGGTGCCGCTAAACGTTACTCACTACGCAGTTGTCCGCGTCTGTCGCCATGGTTACGTCATGGCTATGGCAATACGAGCGGAAACAAGGATAGCCGAGGATAGCGCGGATATTGCGTCATTGACAGGCGACATTTTTTTTCCGGGAAGGCCACTTATTTAAAATTGGAATTTTTCTGAATAATAGAAGAAAGAATACACAGAAACATGTTGTAATAAAAGTGTTTATTGGGTTCATAAAAAAATACACAAACATGTTGTAAAAAATAAACAACGTTTATTGGGTTTATAAAAAAATACACAGAGAGCAATGTTTGAAAAAAAAATGTTTTATTGATGAAATGGATAGGTAAAATGTAATCAGTATTAAGAAACAAATATTATGTGTGCATATAGTAAGGAAAAGCAAGTATTACCCTAGTGTTGTGTTCCAGACCAAAAGGAGAAGGATTCTGAGAGGCCGCGCACAAAGAAGGAAGACAATGAAGGATAAAGCTTTTTATAAGATGATTAATTAATTTGTGTTGAAGTTAGACGCTGGAAGCTGAGTCCGTCTCTCCATTGTTTGATGATCCAAGCCTGACACTTGCTGGTGAAACTTGTGAACTGCTGCTATTGAACTACAACTTGTTAACTTGTTTGGAAACTTTGAAAAACTTTATATAATAAAACTACATATATAATATCGAGTCTCTGCTTGCTATCAAAATCTTAGCCACTGAGGGGTCTTTCTACTAGACTGTGAGTATGAATTTTGAATACTTATTATCTTTTGTGGAATTCGACTTACTTTACCTTACCTGAGAGACTAAATAAAATGAGGTAGAAGGTGAATGATCTACAATAAGGAGATCTGACACCATAAAACTATATTTGACCCAAATTTGGGTTAAAGCAACCCAGCATTTTTTAGACTGAGTGGCCCATCTTAATGCCATTGCACACTTGTTTATTTATTTATTTCGAGCAATACACATGACAAGGCAATAAGAAGCATTTTGATTAATCTATATGTCACCAGGGCAGGAATAGCCTGATATTTAATTAATTTCTCTGGTGATTTGCCCTTATGTTTGCTTTTTTTTTTAGCAGGCTCGCGCTGTCCCCTTTAAGAGTGTGCGCATGCGCAGATGAGAGAGAGCGCGTTAGACTGAAAGAGAGCGTAGTTTGAGACATAGTCACACAGAGGGAGAAATAGTCGATTAAACTGTTAAAGAGTGAACATTTCCAGTTTAATATTGACTTGTGAATCTGTGGTGATAACAGTCGTGTGGTAGTGTCGAGTGTATGGTTGATTTAGCTGCTTATACGATTGATATGATTGTTCCTGCACGTGACAGATCTTCTGTGGGGAAAGGAAATTCAGAGACGTTGGGAAAGATTGAACGTGAGTTAATCTGTAATATCTTATAAAAAGTTGTTGAAAGGTTAAATAACACTGTTTATTTCATATATTAATGGAACATTGAGTAAATATTGTTCTCTATGCCGTGTTAGAGGGGAGAACAGCCACTCGTGATATTGCACGTGCACCAGCCACTTCCTGAGCTTTTTCTGTGTGCTTCAAAGTCTCAATAAGAGTGAGTTTTGATCATTTTCTTCTCCTAAAGTGTTTGTGTATAAGTTATGAAGAATATTTGTACCTTTGATCAAATGTATACTGTTTTCTTGAGTGTAGTTACTGTTTGATTTGAACAGAAGGGGTCAAACTGTGGATTGTAATGTATTCATGTGGTGAAATGTGCAGATTTCTCATGTATGCTGTTTTATTTCTTTCATTAGCCACATACGGGCAAATACCGTTGTTTTTGGCACTCATTTTATTTGTTTCTGAGATTATCATTGTAAAAAAACACATTTTCTAGTCGTTTTGTTTTGTAAGACTCTTATTACTTTGTTTTCTGCACTCATTAGAGTCAGTTTGACAGTTAATTTTGTTTAGCCAATTTCACTTTTAGGATGTTTTTCTAAAACTGTTTTTCTCCTGAACAAAAATCTACATTAAGGCTGTGTCTCATTTTAGGTTCAGTCAGGAATAAAAGAACCTGTTTCTTTAGATGTTATGGCTGTGTCTTATTTCCTGACATAACGTTTGAACGGCCACATATACAAGCCATTAAATTCATCAACTTTAACAAATAATTCCATCTATTGCTCAAAACAGAGTGGGTAGAAGTCTTATTTCAACCCACCCTGGTTACCATTAACAGGAAAAACAAAAGGTAGCTGCTTCCTTAAACATTATCATAACACTCAATTACAATTTTTTTATATAAATAAATATAAGAAAACACAAGAAGGGGAACCCCTTCCTCCTCACCAAAAGCAAAACACAACATATCCTAAATAAACACCATATAAGATCTTAGATAACAATTATAATAATACCAACAATGGTAATCAAATACCTACAAGGTAAAATAAGATAGATTATGAATACATGGATCCATCTATGATAATACCAACAATGGTAATCGGAATACCTTCAGGGTAATATAACACTGAGTCAGAAATTCGCATCCAGAATAATATTTTTACCGCTGCCGTTTCTGCTGCAGCCGTAAAATTTGGAAGAATAGCTACAATTACAGACTTTGAAAAGTGTCCGTTTATTCTCTCTATTGCGTAATCTGCCACCGCGGCTCATTCAGAGCGATGGCGTCGTCCTCCTGAAATACACATTTAGTGCAGCAGCAGCGAGTCTGAGGAGAATATGTGGCGTTCATTCAGACCTGAGCGAGTGTGTGTTTGTGTGATAGTCTCGATGTTTGGAGTGAGAATTACTGAATGTCAAGACAAAAGTCAAAGTTTGAGTCCTGCTGCCATTTTATTTCTTTTGACACATTTGGATTAAATGTTGGCCTACTTTGTTAAAATATACTGGAACAGAGCCTGCTAAATACTTTACATTGAGCCTATCAGTCACATGAGACATTTCAAATCCATACATGAATAATATTGATTGTGTTCTTTATTTTTAAAAGTAGTATGATTGCTTTCAGTTTCTGCACAGTTTAATGACTTTTAGTTGATGACTATGGGCTTGTATCATGTATCCTGACTCAAATAATGTGTTTCTAACAGCAAAAACACACAATAAAGTGAGATGATCTGCTGATGATCCTGAAAGGCTTGTTGAATGAGTGTTGATAGTCTGAGGATCATCAATATTAACAGATCTGCTGAAAACACTCTTTATTTCATGACAATAGTTCCTGTTTTCCCCTCATTTATTATGCTGATGTCTTCACGGCTCTTGTAAATGGACACTTAAAGCTCATTTCATTGGTGTCAGCAGACTGGGGATTTGTTGGCTACTATACATTTATATCTGTCATTTTCTTACCATTATTTATATTTGGAATAATTTCATTACATTTTTTATATTCTGTTATCAATAAGTATAAAACAAACTCAGTAACAGATATATTTTAATTTGGGCAGATCAGCTCCTCCCTCTAGAATTTACCAAAATTGAAGTCCCTCCCACATCAGTCACATCACCAGCGAAGCTCCGCCCACTGCGATTCTCCTATAAATGCTGGAATATTCCCATCATCTACAAGTGAAGTTGAGCAAAGACTGAGTTTATTAAAGAGGACAGTGAGAACATGAGTGATCCAGAACCCTGCAGAATGAAACACACTGAAGATCCTGAAGAACAAAGAGGTTGGTGTTTATTCTTCATTCATTCATGATGCTGGAGAACATTCATGTTAGAAACATTCAAGCTCGTCATCACTTTTAGATAAATAGGTAAACTATGAAATGGATACAAAAGTTTTGGTTTTCAAAATGGTCAGTAAAGCAAGGTTTGAAAAATGCTCACATTGATTGTCAACATCAAGTCAGATGGTACCCATTCAAAAGTTTCGATTTGGCACTGATATCATAAAAACCCAAACAATACCCAACCCGAAATTATTCCTCTTACAGTAACTTTGGTTACTGTTTATTATTATAACCGATACCTAGGTGATGCACTTATATAATTGTGTCAGATACAGATAACTGATCATTCTTTCTGTCGTTTATTTAACTTTATTTAGTTCATAATTAAATTCATAATCTCAATAAAAAAAATGGTATAATGGTCATATTTAATAGCACTTAAATTTTTTTTCTTTGTATTTTTTTTTAATTTTTTTTCCCTTCAGACCTGATGGAAGAGAACGAGGAGAGTGAAGAACACTTGCGTCGCTCAAAGAATAAACAGACAATTTTAAATAAAAGAAGAGACAAGAAATCTACAACCTGCACTCAGTGTGGAAATAGTTTCACACGCAAAGAACATCTTGAGGTTCACATGAGAGTTCACACTGGAGAGAAGCCGTTCTCATGCGATCTATGTGGGAACAGTTTCACACAAACAGCACACCTTAAGATTCACATGAGGATCCACACCGGAGAAAAGCCGTTCACATGTGATCAGTGTGAAAAGAGATTCTCACACAAACAAAGTCTTAAGAGTCACATGAGGATCCACACTGGAGAGAAGCCGTACACATGCGATCAGTGTGAAAAGAGATTCTCACAGAAAGTAAGTCTTACGCTTCACATGAGGACCCACACTGGAGAGAAGCCATACGCATGTGATCAGTGTGGGTCGAGCTTCACACAAAAACCACATCTTAATCTTCACGTGATGATCCACACTGGAGGAAAGCCGTACGCATGCGATCAATGTGGAAAGAGATTCACACAATCAGCACACCTTAAGAGTCACATGAGGAGCCACACTGGAGTGAAGCCGTTCTCATGTGATCAGTGTGACAAAACATTTCTTACTGCATCACACCTGAAGACACACCTGACTGTTCATACGAAGGAGAAGCCATATTCATGTTCTGTGTGTGGAAAGAGTTTTTCACTGCTGCAATATTTAACACTACATCAGAAAGTTCACACTGGTGTGAGAGAGTACATGTGCTTTGAGTGTGAGAAGACGTTTATTAAAGCAAGTAGTTTAAAAGTGCATCAGAGAATTCACACTGGAGAAAAACCTTACAAGTGTTCACACTGTGACAAGACATTCAGACTGTCAGTATCTCTGAAAACACATGAGATGATCCACACTGGAGAAAAACCTTACAAGTGTTCACACTGCGACAAGACATTCAGACTGTTAATATCTCTGAAAACACATGAGAAGATCCACTCTGGAGAAAAACCTTACAAGTGTTCACACTGTGATAAGAGATTCAGTCACTCATCACATCTGAAAAGACATGAGAGGATCCACACTGGAGAGAAACCGTACTCGTGTGATCAGTGCGACAAGAGATTCAGTCAGTTATCATCTGTGAAAGCACATGAGAGGATCCACAGCGCCGAGAACTCAAACACGTGTGATCAGTGCGGGATGGGTTTCAATTTTAAAACTCACTTGAAGCGACACATGAAGATCCATACAGTGGAGAAACCGCATCAACACAGTCTGCGATCACAGTAAGTAGTTCATCTTTATGTGCTGAGCATTAAAGTCTCTTCTGTGTAATTTAGTTTCCTAACAGCCATGGTGAGCAACAGGTCATCTTGGTGGTTGCTTGCCATCTGTTTACATTTTTCACATTATTATGAGATTTTGAGTTACAATATATCATTATTATGAGATAATTTCTCATTATGAGATGTTAAGTTGTTATTACGAGAAAGCATCTTGTTATTTATATAGTGCTTTTAACAATATAGATCAAACTAAATTAAAGTAACAGATTGTTTTGGCTTAATGGCAGCTCTAGAATAAAGTTATTTTCCAGAGTAAAGAATAAAGTTCCTGCTAATTCTCTTCCGTTGCAGAGATCATTAGTTATTAACTTAGTGGCCGCTAACACGACACTGTTTTAAAACCGTTGAAAAACGAAAAAAGAAAAACGGTCGACAGAACCGGGTTAATATGGTCATACTTGGTCATATATGGTCATATGAAGTTTGTTTATTAAGCGTGCAGGGCAACCCCCCAGTAGAGCATTACAATAATCTAGCCTTGATGTCATGAACACATTAACTAACTGTTCCACATTTATCAGTGATAGGGCTGCAACAACTGATTGATAAAATCGATTATAATCGATTATGAAAATTGTTGTCAACGAATGTCGTTATCGATTAGTTGGTCTGATTACGTCACAGGGATTGTTTACTGGTGATTTTGGTTGAAACAGGCCAATAATGATGCTCGCTATCTTACATGCTCTTTATGAGGCAGGTCTCTCTCCCTCGCCGCTCTACCCTGCAGCGTGCACGCAACACGGTTTGGAGCACATTATCTTCCGTCTCGCATGCGCGCTCTTGATTCCGTGAGTTTGAACTAATTTGCGGGCATCAGGGAACCGCTATCCATATGCCGCATACACGAAAATTGCTCACCTTTCGCCGAAATTTGCCGTTTTGAAACCAAAATAGCTGACCTACGTTAATCGTAAATATACTTTATTCTATATGAAGCCATACTATAGTATAATGTGAAATAGAAATGTTTATTTGAGTCATTAAATTCAAGCTGATGTAAGCTTTTCCCTCCACTGCGGCTGTCAGTCATTCTCCATTCGGTGTTCAAACAGCGTGTCGCGTACGGTAACGACAGTCAACACAATGAAACTCTTTCCAAGATGATTCACTGTTCAACATGACATCATGACTTTTGTGTAAACATACACGCCACTTTCGAGTCAAGTGGCGTGTTATCTCTACGCATTTTGAGCTATCCCCGTGTATGTCCACGCCATTAATGTCCGAGTGATTCCGCGTGTCTGTACACGCTGTCAAATGTCTGCACGAAATGAAGCAAAATGTAGATCTACATCTGGGGAGCGATCTTTTTTCTCTCCTAGGATGGTAAGGGAACAGTCATAAATGCCATTAACCCCAGTGATGGGGGAAAACTCTCGACCCAGGAGATAGTAGCGGAGAGTGAGAACGGCCACTTAATGGCTAATGCCTATTTCTCAATGGTGCTGTACATCGTCTCTCTCTTAGAGAGCTTCCGACTGATGTACAGCACCGGCCGCTCCTCACCCTCCATCTCCTGAGTCAAGCCTGTGCCCAACCCCGTCTGATGCCTCTGTCTGCAAAGAAAAAGGAGAGAGAAGTTAGGAGCCTGTAAGAGTGGGCCACCACACAGGGCAGCCTATATTTGGGTGAAAGCTTGCTGACACTGCTCCGTCCACTGGACGGTGTCTGGTGCTTTTTAGTCAGATCAGTCAGCGGGCTAGCAAGGTCCGAATAATTAAGTACAAACCTTCTATAATATCCTGCTAGCCCCAGGAACTGTCTAACCTCCTTTTTGGTCTTGGGTCTCGGACAGGTCGCAACCACTACGGTCTTGTTAATTTGGGGACGCACCTGCCCATGACCCAAGTGGAAGGCCAGATACCTATCCTCCACGCGCCCAATTGCACACTTAGGGTTAGCCGTGAGCCCCGCCCTTCTCAGCGACTTGAGGACCACTCGCAAATGCTGCATATGCCGCTGCCAGTCATTACTGTAGGTGATAATGTCATCCAAGTATGCTGCGGCATATGCAGCATGCGGCCGGAGAATTTTATCCATCAACCGCTGAAAGGTGGCGGGTGCCCCAAGCAGCCCGAACGGAAGCGTGACAAATTGGTGTAATCCGAACGGCGTCGTGAAAGCGGTATTTTCTTTGGATATTGGAGATAAGGGGATCTGCCAATATCCCTTCGTTAAATCCAGTGTCGAATAAAAGCGAGCTGTGCCTAGCCGATCAAGTAACTCGTCAACCCTTGGCATTGGATGCGCATCGAATTTCGATACGGCATTCACCTTGCGGTAATCCACAGAACTGGATGGAGCCATCCGTTTTAGGTACTAAAACTATCGGGCTCGCCCAGTCATTGTTGGATTCCTCTTTTACTCCCATATCCAGCATCGCCGCTAATTCGTCCTGAACTACTTTTTCTTTGTGTTCCGGTAACCTATATGGCCGGCTGCGCACAACCACTCCCGTCTCAGTCTCAACATGGTCCTGGATGAGATTTGTTCGACCAGGGAGAGGCGAGAACACATCCGAGAACTCCGCCTGCAGATGTCTCATGTCAGTGATCTGGGACGGCGAGGGGTGGTCTCCGCAAGCGGTCAAAGGGGAGGATTGGGTTTTTACATTCGCTTCTGGCCCAAGATCCTCCTCGCCAGCATCACTGACTCCACCTCACTCCACTTTTTAAGGAGATTGAGGTGGTATATCTGATGTGTTCCACCCCTGTCTGAACGAGCAACCTCATAGTTGAGATCATTAACACGCCGTGTAACCACAAACGGTCCTTGCCACTTGGCGAGTAATTTTGAGCTGGATGTGAGAAGTAATACGAGTACTTTATCTCCCGGTGCAAATTTACATAGTTTAGCCCCCCTATTTTACAGCTGACTTTGTTTGTCCTGCGCCCGCAACAAATTCTCCATGGAGAGCCGCCCCAAAGTGTGGAGTTTTGTTCGCAGGTCCAGGACGTATTGAATTTCATTTTTACTATTCGAGGGTCCGTCCTCCCAAGCCTCCCTAAGTACGTCCAGTGCCCCTTGGGGCTGGCGCCCATAGAGAAGCTCGAAGGGGGAAAACCCCGTGGAGGCTTGGGGGACCTCGTGTACAGCGAAAGGGAGGGGTTCTAACCACTTATCCCAATTTTTAGCATCTTCCCGTACGAATTTGCGAATCATGGCTTTTAACGTGCGATTAAATCGTTCCACCAAGCCGTCTGTTTTTGGGTGATAGACGCTGGTCCGGATTGATTTAATGTCCACTAATTCGTACAGTTCGCGAATTGTGCGTGACGTAAGCGCTGTGCCCTGATCGGGTGAGAATCTCTTTCGGGATTCCCACCTGGGAGATTGACTGAAACAGTGCAATCGCAACACTTTTCGCCGAAATGTTGCGAAGCGGTAGTGCTCGGGATATCGCGTTGCATAGTCCAACATGCCACATTTACTTAAGTAGTTTTTTTCTGGGATCTGTACTTTACTTGAGTATGTTTTATTTGCATCTACTTTCACTTTTACTCCACTACAATTTTAAAGACAAAGTTTACTTTTTACTCTGATACATTTCCCCATGCCCACTCCAAGTATTTATTACACTGGCTTTCCAAACTAACAAAAAACGTGTTTTTCTTTTGAAAAAAAAAAGAATGCGCAAGCTCTTTGCCAGCATATGCTCAAATTGACCGCAGAAACAGGTGAAGGTACAGCTCTCGCTGTCAGCAATGATCCCAAGATTTCCGACAGGGATCACCCATGGCCATATATCAATGATATGTTCGTATTCACTGAAGTCAAGGAAAAATTCAAAACTTCACCCTCAAATCTGACAAAACACATTGAGGTGGGTTGATGTTAAAGCTGCTCTAAAGAATATTTTTTTACCTTAAAATGTTTCCATTTCAGCCTTCACTTTGTGGTCCTATATCTGCTAGAACCACATTATATAAGTTTGCCAGATCGGGACGCGTTTCTGTAGTTCGAATGAGACATTAAAAAACTACAAATTTGACTTCACGGCAAGCGTTACAATTGGACAACGTTCACTCTAAAGCTGGTGCTGGATAAACAGCGCAGCGACAGTAGGCTGCGGTAGGCTAAATTATTTACGACAGAAGTAACGGACTATGCCGCTTCTAACCTGTAGGGCGACCGCAGAGGAAAAATTCTTTAGTGTTGCTTTAATGTTACTATTGTTAGCCAAGTGATTTCATGTGGAAACGTGCCTTGTAAACAGCTAGCTAACAAATTCTTAATTGCAGTATCTAATCTTATAATTTGTTCAAATAAAATATTGCATATCACTCCCAAAACAATTGATCTGCTTAATTATTGATATTTACAGTTAATTTGAATATTTACTTTTTACTTTCGGTACTTAAGTATGTTTTAAATCGGATTCTTTTGTACTTTTACTCAAGTGATGTTTGAATGGAGGACTTGCTACTTTTACTGGAGTAATTTTTTATTTCGGTATTTATACTTTTACTCGAGTATAACTTTTGAGTACTTTTACCACACCTGTTCATAATCATGTCATAATACTTTTGGGCAATGAAAGCTTATTAATAGCCTTTCTTGTTCTGTCCTTTCTATTATATGTTGCTGCCTTACTAAACAGCTGTGCATTTGATTTTTACGTTGTTTTCATGAATTTATTTTACAACAATACAAAGAGCAATGTGTAACGTTTTACCAGATTTAGTGCGACACTTATTGTCTCTTATTTCTTCCCCACCAAGGAACTTTAAATGTTCAATTTTATACAATTATTGTGCACTTGTGATTTTTCTATGCTAAGTTTTGCTGAGTTATCCACTAATCTAGTTTATAATAGCATTGTTGTCATAGGTTATGGTCATATATATTTTTTTTATTTGTTGTTTTTCTTTATAATGAAGTTGTCTGTATTAAGTAGATTGTGTTTAACACACAAAGGAGTGATTATCAGATCATCTAGGCCTCGTCCTGCTCGCCAGAACCCTGATTTATAATAAGCAGAAAAATTAAATAGAATTTTTTATCCGATTAATAGATTAATCGAAAAAATAATCGTCTGATTAATCGATTATCAAAATAATCGTGAGTTGCAGCCCTAATCAGTGATGATAAATCCTTCCTGATATAATCGGATAATAATTTCCAAATCATTCCCAATAATGTAATGTTAAATTATTACTAGAAAGTTTCTAATTATTATAAGATAGTAAGTCATAATTATGACAACATTTCTCATTATTGACTCCCTAATTTACATTATTTACACAACTGTGAAGGAAACATGCTGCCATACTTTGTCCCACCGACATCATGAGTAAAACAGATGAATGTAAATCATCTTTCTATTTCTGACATAATTAGTTGTTGCAGCTCTAGTTCTTTTAAGTTGGTTTTGATTAATAAACAATTGAGGAGAAATTGTTTGTTGCTGTGGCTTCGACTGTGGCTTTGTTGCTGTTAGTTACATTTTCAGGCACTTTTAGTTTGTTTTCTCAGTTTGTCTTATTTTTTCCCGCCACTCATCTGTTGTCATCGTCATTCATTTGTTCTGCACAGGAGTTCTTGAAATATTTATCATGCATATTATAATTTTTGCCAGAACTACCAGAAAGCATCTGGAAGGAGAGGACAGAGAGAACGACAGTGATCCAGAACCTGCCGAATGAAACACACTGAAGATACTGAAGAACCAAGAGGTTGGTGTTTATTCTTCATTCATTCATATTGCTGAAGAACATGCTTCTGCTCACCAGATTTACATTGTTTCATGACCAAACTAGTGACTTATAACACAAATCATCATTAAAATAGATTATAGTTGTGAACCGCAGTTGTGCACCAGATTTGATGGGATTGAAATGACTAATGAACTCATCAGTGATCTTGACTTTTGGATTCACTTTTCATTTTACAAGTGTCTCTCATTTGAAATCTCACTTTTTTAATGTTTCTTTTAGACCTGATGGACGTGAACAAGAAAGGAAAAACAGAAGCATATAAATCTGTCTCCAGATGAGTGACGGGAAAACCAATGTAAATCAAGTCTGAAGATTCACTCTGGGAAGAAGCGGCTCAGGCTTTCACTCTGAAATCACATCTTCTCATTCTCAAGAAAGAGCATTTAACTGTGAACTGCGATAACTGGAGAAGAAGGCCATAACCCTTTTAAGAGAGACATGAATCTGATATACACTTTTAACTCTATTTTCATGATAAAATCTAGTTTCTCTTCCACTTCTACTCTTCCATGTAAATGCAAGATATACTTTCATGGATCTTTTGTTTCTGTGTATAAAAAATACACAAACAACATGTTGTAATAAAAATGTTTATTGGGTTTTAAAAATACACAGAAACATGTTATAAAAAAAAAAAAAACGTTTATTGGGTTTATAAAAAAATGATTGATGAAATGGATAAGTAAAATGTAATCAGTATTATTATGCGTGCATATAGTAAGGAAAAGCAAGTATTACCCTAGTGTTGTGTTCCAGACCAAAAGGAGAAGGATTTTGAGAGGCCGCACACGAAGAAGGAAGACAATGAAGGATTAAGCTTTTTATAAGATGATTAATTAATTTGTGTTGATGTTAGACGCTGGAAGCTGGGTCCGTCTCTCCATTGTTTGATGATCCAAACCTGACACCTGCTGGTGGAACTTGTGAACTGCTGCTATTGAACTAAAACTTGTTAACTTGTTTGGAAACTTCGAAAAACTTTATATAATAAAACTACATATATAATAAAGAGTCTCTGCTTGCTATCAAAATCTTAGCCACGGAGGGTTCTTTCTACTAGACTGTGAGTATGAATTTTGAATACTTATTATCTTTTGTAGAATTCGACCTACTTTACCTTACCTGAGAGAATAAATAAGATGAGGTAGAAGGTGAATGATGTATAATTAGGTGATAGGGTAGATCTGATGCCATAAAACAATATTTGACCCAAATTTGGGTTAAAACAACCCAGCATTTTTAGACTGAGTGCCCCATCTTAAGGCCATTGTACACTTGTTTGTTTATTTATTTCGAGCAATATATAATTACACATGACAAGGCAATAATAAGCATTTTGGTTAATCTATATACAACCAGGGCAGGAAAAGCCTGATATTTAATTAATTTCCATGGTGATTTGCCCTTATGTTTGTTTTGACTCGCGCTGTCCCCTAAGAGTGTGCGCATGCGCAGATGAGAGAGAGCGCGTCAGACTGAAAGAGCGTAGTTTAAGTCACACGGAGGGAGAAATAGTCGATTAAACTATTAGAGAACATTTCCAGTTTAATATTGACTTGTGAATCTGTGCTGATAAGTGATAACAGTCGTGTGGTAGTGTCGAGTGTATGGTTGATTTAGCTGCTTACGATTGATATGATTGTTCCTGCACGTGAGAGATCTTCTGTTGGGAAAGGAAATTCAGAGACGTTGGGGAAGATTGAGCGTGAGTTAACCTGTAATATCTTATAAAAAGTTGTTGAAAGGTTAAATAACACTGTTTATTTCATATATCAATGGAACATATTTAAATGGAATACCCGTACGTGATATTGCACGTGCACCAGCCACTTCGTGAGCTTTTTCTGTGCTTCAAAGTCTCAATAAGAGTGAGTTTTTATCATTTTCTTCTCCTAAAGTGTTTATGTGTATAATTTATTTAGAATATTTGTACCTTTGATCAAATGTGTACTGTTTTCTTGAGTGTAATTACTGTTTGATTTGAACAGAAGGGGTCAAACTGTGGATTGTAATGTATCATTTGGTGAAATGTGCAGATTTCTCATGTATGCTGTTTTATTTCTTTCATTAGCCACATACGGGCCACTACCGTTGTTTTTGGCACTCATTTTATTTGTTTCTGAAATTATCATTAAAAAAAACACACATTTTCTAGTCGTTTTGTTTTGTAAGACTCTTATTACTTTGTTTTCTGGACTCATTAGAGTCAGTTTGATAGTTAAATTTGTTTAGCCAATTTCAATTATTAATTAGAATGTTTTTCTAAAACTGTTTTTCTTCTGAACAAAAAATCTACATTAACGCTGTGTCTCATTTGAGGTTCAGTCAGGAGTGAAAGAACCAGTTTCTTTAGATGTTATGGCTGTGTCTTATTTCCTGACGTAACGTTTGAACGGCCACATATACAAGCCATTCAATTCATCAACTTTAACAAATAATTCCATCTATTGCTCAAAACAGAGTGGGTAGAAGTCTATCTTATTTGAACCCACCCCGGTTACCATTAACATGAAAAACTAAAACAAAACAATTGTTGCTGCTTCCCTAAACATTATCATAACACTCAATTACAATTTTTTTATATAAATAAATATAAGAAAACAAAAGAATGGGAACCCCTTCTCCCTCACCAAAAGCAAAACAATACCAAAAACAAAACAACATATCCTAAATACACAACTTATATAATGGCTCGTTTCCACTGAGTGGTACGGTACAGTTCGGTTCGGTACGCAATTATTTGCGTTTCCACTGTCAAAAGTTGTGAATAGTACCAAAAAGCCGAACCGTACCGTACCACTTTTTGGGTACCCTTTCGTTAGGGTACCTAGCACAGTGAAAGGGTACTAAAAGGTGGAGTTAGACTCACTGCAGAACGGTGATTGGTGGACGGAGTATCGTCACTCGCGCGTGCTACAAGGGCATTAGAAGCACAGTTGAAATATAATTCTACTGTTATTGTGTCACGAAATGTATTTTTAAGACTTTTTCAGGCTAGAAAGTAGTTTTTTAAAGCTCAAATCAGTGGTTTATTTCTAGATTTTTGATCATTTGACTGAGATCCATTCCAAGCGATCACCGGACGCTCGCGCTCGTCTCCCCCGCCTGGAACAGCCTTTCCTCGGCTAGTCATCCTGATGTTTGCCGCTGACTCGGACGTCTCTGTAGTGGTTAAACATGAGATATAGTTCGTCTTGTATAAACCTAACAGGTGATCTTTGGTCTCGTGAATCTATAATTCGTTTCCTGGCCAATAGTTTTGGCAGAATTCAGGCTACGTGAAGTTTCATATCTTTGAGCGCTGAATTTGTATATTTGACTGACTGAATTGTTTCTTGATATTATTTAAGCTTTACTGTATTTTGTACCTTTTACGTATACTTTTATAATGGCTATTATTGATAAAACTGAAATTCAACAAAAAGAGACAGTTGTTATTTTTTTTTTATTCTATTACAAGATCATCTGTAATGTTGTTATTACAGCATTTGTACCAATGCGATATGCAATACATTACGTTACATATTGCCTGGAATATGTTTAATATTTTTAAATTTAAACGAAAAGAGGCAGGGTTGTTTTATATTTAGTTTTGTCATAAATATAACGTTAACTTACATGCATGCAGTGATAATCAATAGGCTATGCGTTGCCTGAACCACATTTATGTGCTTTAGAATGTTTAAAATGTATTGAAATGGAATCGAAAAGAAGCAGAGTGGTGTTTTATAATATTTCGTTGTATTGTTGCCTAAAATGAACATACAGAGATAACCGGAGTCGCAGAGCCCGAGCGAGCTGAGTGCCGCGTTCAAGAACGCGCTCTTCCATTAGCAGAATTACTGGACTCGCGTCCTCGGGATCATTCTCCTCAGTCGGACTTTGCGTTGGCTTCTTGGAAACAGCGCTTGTTTCTAGTGACAAGATCTGCTGTCTGCCATCCATTGTTGTTTACTATGTTGCTTTCTTCGCGCGAAAATGACGTCGATCGCTTCTTTCCAGCATACCACGCCTTTCAAGTAAGGGTACTGTTGGCGGTGGAAACGCAAGCCTGATCATGGTGTACCCGACCCAACCCGTAGTGTACTGTACCGTACTGTACCGTACCCCTCAGTGGAAACGAGCCATTAGGTAACAATTATAATAAAACCAACAATGGTAATCAAATAACTACAAGGTAAAATAAGATAGATTATGAATACATGGATCAATCTATGATAATACCAACAATGGTAATCAGAATACCTGTGATATTGCGATATCGATATTAATTTCGATATTTTTAAACGGATGTAAAACTACAAAAGTTATAGGAAAACGCATCAAAAAAGATTAATAAATAAAACAAGTTTTCTTACAACATAAGGTTTATTTCAACCGACAGTAATATTGGACTGGTGTAGCATGAATAAATAAATAATAACCATGTCTACAGTACAGGACATGTTACTAGTTGTGTACACTACAGTGTAAAAGATAATAAATAAATAGCAAGTCTACAGAACACACTATATGCAACATAAACACCACTATATGCGTTTTCTTTGACCGGATAGCTATCTGATCGTGAAAAGACCGGGTGTAAATACCCTCTGAAACGCATTCGTGAGGTATTTGAATCTAATCGCTTAAACCACTTCAAGAGGAAGTCTGGGCCGCATTTCAGTCGAAACTGAACAAATGTAAATGCATCTCGTTGTTGAAACCACATAAAATGTACTCCTTCCAAAAACGCTAAAAATGAGAACGTTACAGGCTACATGTCATGTTATGGCCATATGTGACGACGCGCGCGACTGCAACAATGGAGAAGGAGAATCAGAAAATGAGTCGGGGGGAAATGCAACGGTGCATGTCGGACCGGACGCATCATAAACAAAATATTGCATAAATATCGAGAGACTTTTGATATGTATATCGAGCAACGTAATATTGCGATAACGATATTGATTCGATATATCGTGCACCCCTATAGAATGTGTTCATTCAGACCTGAGCGAGTGTGTGTTTGTGTGATAGTCTCGTTGTTTGGAGTGAGAACTGTTACTGAATGTCAAGACAAAAGTCAAAGTTTGAGTCCTGCTGCCATTTTATTTCTTTTAACACATTTGGATTAAATGTTAGTCTACTTTGTTAAAATATACTGGAACAGAGCCTGCTAAATACTTTAAATTGAGCCTATCAGTCACATGAGACATTTCAAATCCATACATGAATAATATTGATTGTGTTCTTTATTTTTAAAAGTTGTATGATTGCTTTCAGTTTCTGCACAGTTTAATGACTTTTAGTTTATGATTACAGGCTTTTATCATGTATCCTGACTCAAATAATGTGTTTCTAACAGCAAACACTCAGAATAAAGTGAGATGATTCTGAATGGCTTGTTGAATGAGTGTTAATAGTCTGAGGATCATCACAGATCTGCTGAAAACACTCTTTATTTCATGACAATAGTTCCTGTTTTCACCTCATTTATTATGCTGATGTCTTCACATCTCCTGCAAATGGACACTTAAAGCTCATTTCATTGGTGTAAGCAGACTGGGGATTTGGTGACGACTATATTACATTTATATCTGTCTTTAGGTCTATGTGTTGAACTGTTTTTCTTACCATTATTTATATTTGGAATAATTTCATTACATTATTATATTCTGTTATCAATAAGTATAAAACAAACTCAGTGACAGATATATTTTAATTTGAGCAGATCAGCTCCTCCCACTAGAATTTACCAAAATTGAAGTCCCTCCCACATCAGTCACAACACCAGCAAAGCTCCGCCCACTGCGATTCTCCTATAAATGCTTGAATATTCCCATCATCTACAAGTGAAGTTGAGCAAAGACTGAGTTTATTAAAGAGGACAGTGAGAACATGAGTGATCCAGAACCCTGCAGAATGAAACACACTGAAGATCCTGAAGAACAAAGAGGTTGGTGTTTATTCTACATTCATTCATGATGCTGGAGAACATTCATGTTAGAAACATTCAAGCCCTTCATCACTTTTAGATAAATAGGTTAACTATGAAATGGGTACAAAAGTTTTGGTTTTCAAAATGGTCAGTAAAGCAAGGTTTGAAAAATGCTCAACATTAAGTCAAACTCTTTTTTTAAGTATCAGTTAAGGCACTGGTACCATTCAAAAGTTTCGATTTGGCACTGATATCATAAAAACCCAACCAGAGATTATTCTTCTTACAGTAACTTTGGTTACTGTTTATTATAACTGATACCTAGGGATGCACCTATATGGGAATTTTGTCAGATAACTGATAATTCTTTTTGTCGTTTATTTAACTTTAATTCATTATTAAACTCAATAAAAACAGTAAAATGGTCATATTTAATAGCAGTTGTCCATTTTTATGCAATTTCACTTACATTTTTTTCTCTTTATACAATTTTGATATTTTTTTCCCCTTCAGACCTGATGGACGAGAACGAGGAGAGTGAAGAACACTTGCGTCGCTCAAAGAATAAACAGACAATTTTAAATAAAAGAAGAGACAAGAAATCTTTCACCTGCACTCAGTGTGGGAAGAGTCTCACACGCAAAGAACATCTTGAGCTTCACATGAGGATTCACACTGGAGAGAAGCCGTTCTCATGCGATCTATGTGGGAAGAGTTTCACACAATCATCATACCTTAAGAGTCACATGAGGATCCACACCGGAGAAAAGCCGTTCACATGTGATGAATGTGGGAAGAGATTCACAACCAAACAAAATCTTAAACTTCACATGAGGACCCACACCGGAGAAAAGCCATTCACATGTGATCAGTGTGAAAAGAGTTTCACAAACAAACAACTTCTTACGCTTCACATGAGGACCCACACTGGAGAGAAACCGTTCTCATGTGATCAGTGTGGGTCGAGCTTCACAAAAAAACAACATCTTAATCTTCACATGATGATCCACACTGGAGAAAAGCCATACGCATGCGATCAGTGTGGAAAGAGATTCCCACATTCATCACACCTTAAGAGTCACATGATGATCCACACCGGAGAGAAGCCGTTCTCATGTGATCAGTGTGGGTCGAGCTTCACACAAAAACAACATCTAAATGTTCACACGAGAATTCACTCTGGAGAAAGGCCGTACGCATGTGTTCAGTGTGGAAAGAGTTACATACAATCATCATACCTTAAGATTCACATGAGGACCCACACCGGAGAGAAGCCGTACACATGTGATCAGTGCGACAAAACGTTTCTTACTGCATCACACCTGAAGAAACACCTGAGTGTTCATACGAAGGAGAAGCCATATTCATGTTCTGTGTGTGGAAAGAGTTTTTCACAGCTGCAATATTTAAAACTACATCAGAAAGTTCACACTGGTGTGAGAGAGTACATGTGCTTTGAGTGTGAGAAGACTTTTACTACAGGGAGAGAATTAAAACTGCACCAGAGGATCCACACTGGAGAAAAACCTTTAAAGTGTTCACACTGTGACAAGAGATTCAGTCGTTCAGGAACTCTGAAAACACATGAGAGGATCCACACTGGAGAAAAACCTTACAAGTGTTCACACTGTGACAAGAGATTCAGTCAGTTAATAAATCTGAAAGCACATGAGAGGATCCACAGCGCCGAGAACTCACACACGTGTGATCAGTGCGGGATGGGTTTCAATTCTAAAACTCACCTGAAGCGACACATGAAGATCCACACAGTGGAGAAACCACATCAACACAGTCTGCGATCACAGTAAGTAGTTCATCTTTATATGCTGAGCATTAAAGTCTCTTCTCTGTAATTTAGGGTGTATT